TGCGATGACGGCGGGAAGCAAAGGCGCAGAGTCTGCACTACAGCTGAGGGTGTTTTGCGGCGACGGCGGGAAGCAAAGGCCTCGAGTCAGTACTACAGCTGAGGGTGTTTTTCGCAACCCTTGCGAAGCAATCGTGCATGTCGCAATGTTTCTTGCCTTGAGCAGATGAGCATCAGAACACTTTTCAATTTTCTACTTAGGGTAATTGGGGATTAGGGTGTCCTTTCAATGCCGACTAGACAGTGATATATTTATAAGAGACCCCGTGCGCGTTTTTGTATCCCGGTGCCGCATGCCGGGGGGTGGCCCAGGGCCTGACCAGGCCGGGCTCACCCGTTTTTTAACAAAACGACATTTTATACGACTTATCGGCATTGAGTTGACAGGACCAATTTTTTTTTCTATCTAGTTACAGTAGAGCCCCCCCTGCCCAGGCCGAACTAGGATGAATGGTATAAATGAATTTACACGTGAGATGGCAAAACACAAGTACAACATGAATTCATGCTGGCCTGGGCTAGAGGGAACCCCAGGCCCAGGTGTGAGCCCCTATTGGGACCCGACACCCTTCCACGGGCCCCCCTTCTTCAAAACGATATATATATAAAACTTAACCGGGGGTTTGGGCTCGGGAAAATTATACAGGGGCAATATCTAGACCTAGAAGAATCAAAACATCGTGGGGCAAAAATGCACCCCACGGTATTGCAGGACTAATATGTGCCCTGCGGAGGGGCCGAAAAGGGCCCGTTTTTTATAGGTGCAAGCAACATGAGCATCAGCAACATGAGCATCAGCAACATGAGCATCAGCAACATGAGCATCAGCAACATGAGCACCAGCGTCATCGGCATCCTCAGGACGGCATAGTCATGGCCTGGAATTGTGGCGAAAAAGACAACTTGGAACGTGCCTGGACAAGAGCCAGGGAGAGCGAGCGAGATGGACGGGGGGGGACCCCCCCCAATTAAACAGACCCTATAGGATTACGTCCGGATGGGTTGTGGACATGAAAAGTGCGACCAGGAGCCTATAGGCCCAGTACTCAAACCCATCCGTAAACCCGGCATGAACCCAGAGAAGGCCTCCTGGGGCATGAGCCGCTTCACGCGCACGCAGGCTCCTCCTCCACAAGGCGCACCTCGTAGGTCTCTGGCTGAAGCTTCAGGGATTTTGGTGAACAGAACCCCTACATCTTAGAAGGTTTGGGGTGTGGTCAGGGTTTCGTCAGGCGAGCCAAGGGTTACAGTCGAGTTCAGGCTTGTGGGCGATTGAAAAACTTGGGCCACCCTACCGGACCTAGTTTTGGAAGTTTTGCGCAATCAGGCACCTGGGCAGTGGACAGGGATGGGGGGGTGGGGGGGGGTTCTGGGCTATTCAGGGCCGTCCGACAGACCTACTGGATGGGAGCGTTAGCAGGGATGGCTGGGGGCCGCGGGGGTCCTGGTACAGCGTACTCTCCCCCCCGCTATCCTACTGCCGGGAAACCGTTCTATTATATTCCAGAACGACCTGACAGCCCTCCATCGCCCCAGTCTTCCCGCCTGCATCTGTGGCCATATTCTGGATGCTGCCCACGCAGTGCCAGCGGAAGCTTGAGAGTAAGGACCCAAAACCCTAAACCCTAAACCCTAAACTTCCGCCTCTTGGGCTTGACCCAGGAGCTTCAGGTTTATAGTAGGGTTTGATCGAACGTTTTAGGCTTGAGGTTTTTTAATGTTTTGGGTGCTGAGTTCGGCCAAGAGCTCACATAACGTTTCCTGACCCTCGCTACTTGGCCTGTCGGCTCGCTAAACTGTCATGTCAGCGGAAGCCGACACAACAGGTCGGCATGTCTGGCCTTGATCCTAAATGCTTGAGGCAGGTGCAGCTTGACTATGCCAGGACGGATCCGTGTTTGTGGGGCTGCTTGCCTACTTTCACGCATCTTTCTAGAGAATTCCAGAAACTGCAACTCCGCACCTGTGGAGGCAAAATACAATGCTTCATTACCCTGGTGTCGCTCGCTGCTATGAGGTAGAGTTCCAGGCCCGGCTTGCCAATACGGGCCGCATCAAGTGCCAAGGAAAGCCTTTGTTCAAATGTTCAAATGTGCCCAACAGAAAAATCAAGTGTACACGTACTATATTCCTTACCGGGATCCAAGTTCGAAAAAGAAGCGTTGCAGGCTTGCTCCATGTCAAGCGCAGCGTCGCCTGGTAGGCCGCCATTTCAGACGCTATCAACTTGTTTGCCTGGAGAGTCTTCTCCAGCGCACGTGCTGAAGCTGCCACAGTTGGCTGCTGGCCATTGGCGGCTGACCGCAACGCCCATTGCTTGACGTGCGGGTCCACCCGCCTTCGCTTGCATGCGCCGCCTGGGACGCTGGTCACCTCGGCCTCCGCCGACTTGTGCCACGTGAGATCGCCCCATCTCTCTGCTTCTTCTTCCACGGTATGTGACAAAGCGGTGACGATTTCCGAAAGCCAATGGCGAATGGCCGGGCATTCTACATGCTGGTACAACTGCCGCATCTGCTTCCACAGGCACAGCTGCGGGGGACCATCCGCGATGGCGTTGCTAGCAAGTCGTGCTGCCTCTTGGAAGCAAGGGCACTTCCCCTGCAGTTTGGGCTCCCTGGCACACTGGCCCATGCTACTGGCGTTTGGCTGGAGGGGCTGAAGATCCAATGCTGCAGGCAAGCATGCCTGGAAAAAATGCCCGGCAGCGCTGTCCGCGAGCAGGCGATTGTGCATGTTTTTTCCTGAATTTAACCGCAATAGGTTGGGAAGACACTTGAATGCTGCTGGTTAGAATATCCGAGATATGCTATTGTAAAAAGAAACATGTAACACTTGCATGGGAGGTCTCGGGAAGTCAAGGCAACTGAACTAAACCTCAGAAGAAAAAAACGGATGCACGAAAATGTCGGCAAGGATTCCAAACGCTTGGGCCAAGCTCCCGCCATGAAGGGACCCCGAACACTTCAATGGAAGGGTTGGGACTGCGCTCGCGAGAGCAACTAGTGCCTAAACGCAACTCTTGGCCCCAAGCGCTATAAACTCTGAGAAGTGATAACTTCGATTGAAGATCAACGCCGCAATCGGTGAACTTACGCGACCTTACCGAAAGGACTGGCAGGCCAAGTCGCGCTTCGAAGACCAAGCAAGAAGCAAACATACTAGTCCTGTTGTGGTGACCCAGTGCTCCTGCTCGGCATCTGACGTGTCTGCTGCTTGATTCCTCAGTGCTGCGCCTGATTGGTCCATGTGCTCATCGGGGTTCGCGAGAACAGACACTGAGTTTCTCCAAGATTGCCAATTTCTCACGAAGACACGCCAGGGCTGTTCTGCGCGCGGCCCAGTTTCAAGCCAGCCTAGGTTTCCCACCAGTCGTCGCAACTCCCACCGAAGCTCACCGTCGGAGCCTTCACGGGTTGCAAGGATCCAGCTGCTACGGCTACTATGATCTCATCCCTAAAGGCCGAGGTAAACCTCACCTAGCAAACCTTGTCACATTGTGCTCATAGGGCCCTGCTTGTTTTTGAAGAGTTCCAACCTGCACTGCTCGGGAACGCCTTCCAGTGGCAGCTTTCCACATGTCCAGATGGCAGCATCGCTCTGAACCGCAACATCAAACCCAAGGAAAAATCAGCCATTGTGCGGGCCGCTGGGCGGCTGGGCTCTCGGTGACCAATGTGGTCTAATAAGAATACTGGATGGTGGACGGACACTGTGTTTCTACGATACTATAGTGTATATAACATTATGACTATACTAACTACATGGTTATACGTGGTATAACAGAGCAAAGGATGGCCTTGCAAGATCACACAACAATGTATAACTTGTGTAACATACGATGCTATATTCTGGGCCTGTGCGCAGCCAGCAACGGCAAGGTTGACCAAGGGGACCTTTCCGAAGGGGACCTGTTGGCCGACTCCGACTAAACCCTAAACCCTAAGCCCTGTCTGGAAGGGTTGGAGGCCCTAAACGTCCCCAGCACAAAAGCTGAGACTTGGCTCGCTGTGAGTTGTGATTGGGTGGCCTTTGCGGTGGGCATGTCTTCGCACTCTGCACCCCAAGCCGCAAAATCCCCTAAACCCTAAACCCTAAACCCGACGCCTAAACCCTAGACCCTAAACCCCAAACCCCGGAACCCTACACCCTAAACCCCAGAACCCCTGAAACCCTGCACTGAAACCCAGAGCCCGAAACCCTCGAAACCCTCACCCTAAACCCTAAACCCTAAACCCTAAACCCTAAACCCTAAACCCTAAACCCTAAACCCTAAACCCTAAACCCTAAACCGCCTTCGGGCTGGACTTCGGGCTGATCACGGGGCTCGTCTTGGGACTGGTGCGCTTGCCGGGTGGCCTCGTCCGCCAAGGGGTGGGGGGGGGGGGGGGGGGGGGGGGCTTAGGGTTTAGGGTTAGGGTTTAGGGTTTAGAGTTTAGGGTTTAGGGTTTAGGGTTTAGGGTTTGGGGTTTAGGGTTTAGGGTTTAGGCTGTAGGGTTCAGAGTTCAGGGTTTGAGGTTAGGGTTGAGGGTTGAGGCTTGAGGGTTGAGGGTGGAGGGGTGTGGGGTTGGGGGAGGGAGGAGGGTGATTTGAGGGTTTATGAGTCAAGGAGCTTATACGGGCGCAACCCACGATCTAGTACAGGCACAAATCCACTCTTCCATACAGGGCTCGTTTGTTTTTTTTCAGTTGGGCTGCTCCTGGCGGGTTCAAACCCTAAGCCCGAAACCCTAAACCCTAAACCCTGAACCCTGAACCCTAAACCCTCAACCCTCAACCCTCAACCCTCAACCCTCAACCCTCAACCTTCAACCCTAAACCCTACCCTAAGCATCCCCCAGCCCTACAGGGTTTGCGAATTCCAGGGCTTAGGGACTTCGAGAGTTTAGGATTGCGGCCGAATCTCGAACCTGGGACCGCATGGCAATTCAAAGAGGCCAATCCTTACGCTTGATCCCCGAGGACCCTGGCTGAAGGGCTTGTGGTTGAGGCCTTACGGATTTACGACTCCTGGTTGCTGAGTATCCTGGGCAAAACAAACATTAACCTGTCAAAAAAAGGCTATACATGCCTCAAAAGGTCAAATCGCGACGTGTGCACAAGCGAGTCTCAAAAGGCTAAAGTTTACTATATACTGTATTCATATGGGGACTTCCGATAAAAGGGGACCTCTTTCGACCCCCAAATAGTCGGATCCCCTTATAATAAGGACCCCAAGAAGGTACCCCGAATATCGTAAGCCCCCATATTGAGGCGGTCGTTCGGGCGTAGCCGCACTCTCAGAGGGCAAGCTTCAGATGAGTAGGAGAAGAGATCCGCATCGCGGAAACTCAGAGACGCAAGGCTTTTGCCCCCAACCCCCCCTAAACCCTAAACCCGAAACCCTAAACCCCTAAACCCCTAAACCCCAAACCCCTAAACCCTAAACCCTAAACCCTAAACCTAAACCCTAAACCCCTAAAACCCGGACACCCGTACTCTGAATCGCATCTTCATCCAGTCGCAGATGAAGCAGAAACAAGTCCCGGGCGTGTTCGGGTTTGAGGCTTAGTGCTCAGCTTTAAACATCTGCAGAACACGTGCGGACGGGGGAGGGTTAAAAAGGGTTTTGGGTGACTTGAGGGGGTGCAGGGCCTTAGAGTTTAGAACCCCTCAGTTGCAACACAACCTTGGGGACGAAATGAACCCTTTTCAAGTTTATGGTTCACATATCCTAATAAGGATGACGGTAGTATACCCTGATAAAGGATTATAGTAGTGGTCCATGACCCCAATTTTAGGCTTCACTGGGTCCCTAAACCCGAAGCCCCTAAACCCTAAACCCTAAACCCTAAACCCTAAACCCTAAACCCTAAACCCTAAACCCTAAACCCTAAGCCCAAGGAATGGCTCTTTAAGGCCCCGGGCGGCGAAGGCGAATGGACGGGCGAAGTCGTCATGGGCGAAGTGGATGCCTGGCAGACATGCGCGAGGCCTCAGGCTTCTGGCTTGGGCTTCCTTGGGGACCAAATGCGTATCTCCCAAAATAGCGGTACCCGCGTTAATACCCCAAATAGAATCCCCTTGAAGGGACACCCCAAAATGGTACCCCTATCTTCGGAAACCCCGAAACGAACCCTAAAAGGGTTTAGGGATTAGGGTGTTTAAACCTTGGGTACCTTGAAAAGGGTTTAGGGTTCATATACCCCAATAGTGGCAACTTGAACCCCAAAAGAGTTCAGGGTTCAAAGACCCTAATAGGGATTATAGTATAGGGTCGGCCTTCTTTCCTTAAGGACCAGATTGAACCCCAAAAGGGTTTAGGGTTCATAAACCCTAATAGGGTTTATACTAGTGTAGGGTATATGACTCGCAAACCCTAAACCCTAAAACCTAAAACCTAGAACCTAAACGCGAAACCCTAAACCTTACAGACCTTAAACCCTGAACCCAAAACCCTAAACCCTTGTCTAGCCTGCTCTTGGGTACATGCAAAATTCTGACCCCCCCCCCCCCCCCCCGCCGGGGAAAACAACCCCTAAACCCTAAACCCTAAACCCTAAACCCTAAACCCCAATTTGCTTTGAAACCGGGCTCAGGGCGGTTTAAGTTCGGGACAACCTTGCATATACCATACCTCAAGAGCAGCTCAACTTGACTTTAATGTTTCAGGTTTCAGGACTTTAGGGTTTCGGGATTCGGGGTTTAGGGTTTAGCGTTTCGCGTTTAGGGTTTAGGGTTTAGAGAAACCCGAAACCCTAAACCCTAAACCCTCAACCCTAAAGGGTTTCGGGTTTCGTGCTTCAGAGGAGGAGGATGCGAGATTTATAGACCGTAGGAACGGGGCAGCTGTCAGACTGATTCGGCCTCGGCATGCGGCGACAGGGGTGGCGAGGGCCTGCACGGGCCCTTAACAGGGGACCCCTTATACCCCCTTCAGGGTTTAGGGTTTAGGGTTTAGGGTTTAGGGGTAGGTACATGGTCCCTTAATATGGGCCCTTAACAGGAGACCCTTAAATCCCCCATAAAAACCCAAGGGCCCATATAAGTATCCTTGGAAGCAACCCAAACCCAAAGCCTTAATTAGGGTTCAGATATAGGGTTGAGGGAAAGAACACCAGCCACAAGCCCTGATAACCCCAAGCCAATTAAACAAAAACACAAAAAAAAACACACACCCTGAAGCCTCAAAAGCCCTAAGCTTACAAGCCTATCATCTCCGAAACTTCAAACTACACACTAAAAAAGCGAAGCTTCAAGAACATGCATACCCTAAACCCTGAACCCTGACACCTGAACCCTTAAAAGTTCTAAACACAGTTAACTCTTTGAGGTTCAATGAACCGCCAAGGAGTCTATGACTGAAGAAGTTGCGCGAATAACTCCCGAAACCCTAAACCTTAAACCCTAGACCCTAAACCCTACACCAAAGAAGTCATGTTGCAAAACCCTGCCCTAAGCCCTCTAAAACCAAAGCCCATTTGCCCTGAACCATACAAGCCTCAAGTGTAGAACTCTGCAGCGCGGACTCTAAAACCCTATAACATGCAGCCCTTAATACCGTACGGACCAACTGAACCCTAAAAGGTTTATGGTTCATGTACCTTACCTAAAAAGGATTCTAGTAGCATGGGGTATCTGACCCCAATTCTGGGGTTCATGTGGCCCCCACTGTAAGTCTCGCACTCAATACTTCCTGCCTTTTACCCTCCACCCGTCGCCTTGAGGCCAACCCTAAACCCTAAACCCTAAACCCCCACCTGTCTTCATCCTTCTCCTTCTTGCGATCCTGCCATGGCCTGCGGCGAGGCAAGCAAGGGCTGGGGGTGAAAGGGCTTCTAGGGAGGTTTAGAATTTAGAGTTCAGGGTTCAAATTAAGGTTTAGGGTCAGGGTAGGAGGGTCGTACAGGGATTCTAGATTCTAGGATTAGGGCTTGCAGGCTACTTTGTATGGCTGCATGGGATTGTGGTTTGTATGGCTACAAGGGGATTATGGGGTTTGGGCTTGTAAGGCTTTACAGTGGCGCCAGGGGTTACAGCGTTTGGGAGCTTTTGGGGTTTGCAGGATTTTGGGGTTTGCGGGATTTATAGGGACTTGTGCAGAATACGGGAATATAGGGCTTAAGGCGAAACCCTACATTGCCCAGCCCTAAACCCCAAACCCTAAACCCTACATGAACCCCTCCCCCCAATCCCGCCTCCGGCGCCTGTCTTCGTCCGGCACCGACAACTGCAGGGCCAGACGAGGGACTTGAGAGGCATCGTGCTTAGGGCAATGAGGGTTTAGGGTTTCGGTGGGTTTTGGGTTTAAGGTTTAGGGTTCAGGGCTTCAGAGCATATGGTCCAGCAGTTTAGGGCTTCAGGATTTTGTGGGTTTAGCCCCCCAAGCCCTCAAACAAACTCTAAACCCTAAACCCTAAACCCTAAACTCTGAGAGAGACCGAAACTAGGCCGGGCCTCCCCTCGCATCATGGCCGCCACAGTGGAATCGCCAGTGCCTCTCGCCTCCCAGGCCGCGGCTTGTGCAGAGCTTTGGGCTGCCCTAAACCCTAAACCCTAAACCCTAAACCCTAAACCCCAAACCCTAAACCCCAAACCCTAAACCCTAAACCCTAACCCTTGTAGCATTCTTCTGGGACATGCTAGGGTGCCAAGAAGCTCTGCTACATAGGGAATTGGGTACCCGAGCTCCATCATAGGCTGCAAGAGGACGCTCTGGTGAGGGTCGGGAAGCCTAAGCCATAAACCCTAAGCCCTCATTAGCCCTAATGGAAACCTCCCAGTCAACCTCCCCACAAAAGGATGGGCAGCTACTCTCAATCATGGTCCCTTAGGGTTTGGGGTTTGGGCAAGCCCCGTTCAGGGGATCTTAGGCAACTCAACGGCCCCTCTGGATCCAAACGGTCTAGGGTTGTAGGGTTTAGCGTATGAACTTCAATTCAGAATCAGCACCCGCTGCATAAGGTATTCAGCCATTGCTCCTTGACCCCAATAGCCCTAAACCCTAAACCCTAGTCCCTGAAGCCTAGACCCTGAACTCCAAGTACCCTCAAGCTGGCGCCTTGGGTGGCTTGTATGCCGCCTTCTTCGCGGTTCCGCCGCCGTCGGCTACGGCCGCGCCAGCCCGCCCGATCTGAACAAAATTGGGTTTTGAGGTCTATAGGTTTAGGGTTTGTAGGGCTTATAGGGATCTTATAGGGTTCAGGGTCGGTTCGGATCCTCGGATAAGGTGAGAGGGCAGACGGTCTAGACTTGGGATCTGGACAGTTGGGCAAGAGACTCATTAGAATCGGGGTTTGGCTTGTTTTTTGATACTGTTATGTAGGGACCGTAGGGACCATAAGGGAATACTATCCGATCCCTTCTTTTAGCTGTTGAGGGTTGTTGCTGTGTTAATTGAGGAGTCGCATTGTTTGTTGAGGGTTATTCATTGTTGTTTTTTCTTATTTCGGTTGTTTAGGGGATTTCGGGTTTGTTGTTTAAGGGCATTTGGGGTTTCGCGGGCTTCTTTGTTTCTTCGCATTTTCGTTAAGGAGTTTGTGGGGGGGTTGCTAGTCTTTTTGTTAAACGTTATCGTTTTGGGGTTTAGTGTTGTTCAGGGTTTTTAGGGTTTCGGGGTGTTCAGGCTTGTTATCGGGGGATTTGGGAGGTTATGGTCTTCACGGTTTGGTTGGGGGATGTTTGGGTTCAGGTGGTTTAGGGTTTTTTGGGTTTAGGGGGTTTAGGGGGTTTAGTTTAGGGTCTTCAGGGGTTCGGGGAGGGTTTAGGGTTTTCAGGGGTTCGGGGAAGGTTTGGGGTTTGGGGTTTAGGGTTTGGGGTTTCCTATGAAGATATTTGCACTACAAACCCTTGTTAGGGCTCATTTGGTCCCCAAGGTTTCAACACCCTAAACCCTAAACCCTAAACCCTAAACCCTAAACCCTAAACCCTGAACCCTAAACCCTAAACCCCACACAAAGAGAGCCCAAGTGCCACTCCTGCCTCCTCGCTGGTGATGTCATCCAGGGAACTGCAGTCAAGACCGGGTCTCCATGCGACCTGGAGCTGCGAGCTTTCAGGTGCGGGGGAGGGGTTAGGTCTAGGGTTTAGGGTTTAGGGTTTAGGGTTTAGGGTTTAGGGTTTAGGGTTTAGGGTTTAGGGTTTAGGGTTTAGGGTTTAGGTTTTAGGGTTTAGGGTTTAGGGTTTAGGGTTTAGGGTTTAGGGTTTAGGGTTTAGGGTGTAGGGTTGGGAGACTTATGGGGGTTTGTGCGGGTTTATGGGGAAGGGGGGCGGTATGTGGAGGTTTATGAGTCTAGGGGGGTTCGCTGACCAGCCTAAAAATGTCTGTACGGGTTTAGCTCGTTAGGTCCCCAACCGTAGTCCTAAAGCCTAAATGTTATGGTTTAGGATTACTCGGGGGTTGGAAGAACTGCAAGATTGTTCGTCTCTTCGTCCTCAGGAAGTACGAAAGTCGGGTGCCTATGCAATTATCCTTCAAGGTTTACAACGGGTTTATATAGCTTATTAGTAGCCCAGTAACCATATGATAGTAAGGGCACCCCTTTTTTTGGTTGGTTACTTTCTAGGGAACCCAGAACCAAGAAAAAAAGGGTGAAGGGGTCTACTGGGCCACCAAAGTATAGGGATTCGGGGAGGAAAAGCACCGAAGTCCCACTGGCCTGAGGCAACTCCAGAAAAAAATAAAAGGAGTTCATTTGGGGGGGGGTCTGTAAGGCCCCCATCCCCAACAAAAACACCCCACCAACCCCCACCCCCCCTCCAACCAAAAAGTAACAAACGAAGGCCTGGTTTAGAACAGCCAAGGACCAGCATCGTGCACTATGCACCCTGCAAGCCCCCCCCCCCCCCCCAGCGAAAAATCACCAGCATCCTTCGCCCTAAGCCCAAAGCCAGACTAGGTTTTAGGTTTTAGGGTTTAGGTTTTAGGGTTTAGGGTTTAGGGTTCAGGGTTTAGGAACACCCTCAACCCCACGACGCTTGAGTAGAGGGCAACACCCCAAAGTTCTCGAAGAGCCCAAACCCTAAACCCTAAACCCCTCACCTCTCTTGAACCCCAACGTCTTTTTTGAGCGGCAATGCCTCGTAGAGTTCATCTGAAGGGGATGAAATGACCTGCCAGCAAGGTTTAGACCCTAAACCCCAAAGGGTCTAGGCGTCTAGTGCAGGTTATCGGGGCGGGGATGAGGCAGCATGCTGCCTTCATAGCTTTCAGGACTCAGCTGCGAGCAAGAACCCCATATAAACCCTGTCCCTAAACCCTAAACCCTAAAAAAACCTTAAACCCTAAACCCTAAACCGTACACCATAAACCCTAATTAACCCTGAACCCTAAAGTCCTAAACCCTAACCCCTAAACCCGAAACACCGCTGGCCCTCTCGCAAGAAGCCCGAAGCTTTCAAAGGGACCAGCCGCGCAGAACTGCCGCCCTTGCTGTGGCCTCCTCCTCGCAGTTGCGGGAGACCTTGCGAGGGGTGTGATTGATTCGATTGACAGCGTTCAGCTTCGGCCTGCACCTCCTGCCGCTTGGCCCAGTTCTTCTGAGCTTGGCCGAATACGTCGGACACGGTTGACCAGGCAGCACGGGCTGGAAGTCGCACATTCGGATTGCCTTCTGCGAAGCGCCATGCAGGCTGCGGCGCTGGCAGGGACGCGGCTCTGACCGACTTTTCCCCGTGCACCCGCAACGCCAAGTCTGCTTCCAGGTAATGCACGCACAGCTCGTGCGAGCATTGGCCCAACTTACAATACAGTGCGCAGCTGCAGCGAACCGACGCACAGAAAGTCTCCCGGTCGTCACGACCTCGCTCCAAGCACAACACGGCCACGGCCGATGTCAGGAAACGACGAGTGGCACTGATCGAGCGTCGCCCAGACGGAAGTCCGTCCTGGGCAGGGTACCACGCCCCTATTTTCTTCATGGCCTTCTCGATGCAGCTGGGCGTCTCTGCTCCCAAGGCGGTTCCGGGTTTAAGGTTTAGGGTTTAGGGTTTAGGGTTAGGGTTTAGGGTTTAGGGTTTAGGGTTTAGGGTTTAGGGTTTAGGGTTTAGGGTTTAGGGTTTAGGGTTTAGGGTTTAGGGTTTATGGTTAGGGTTTAGGGTTTAGGGTTTAGGGTTTAGGGTTTAGGGTTTAGGGTTTAGGGTTTAGGGTTTAGGGTTTAGGGTTTAGGGTTTAGGGTTTGGGGTTTCGGGTTTGGGGTTTGGGGTTTAGGGTTTGGGGTTTGGGGTTTAGGGTTTAGGGTTTACAGGGTTTAGGGTTTAGGGCGTGCCAAACGGAAGCGCGCTTTGGGAGCGCGCGGTAGTCTGCAGACCTACCCACCCCAAGACCGCCCACTTACAACTCTCAAGGAGTTCAGACCTTTTACTTTTTTTACAAAGCATCACATGAGTCAGCACTCACGCCCTTTTGGGGACCTCCACAAGGTGCGTGGACCAGGGCACTTGCGACGCGCAGACGGAAAGGCGAGGCAGGGTCAGCGAAGACAGCTTGGGTTGGGGCGAAGGGGCTAAGGCCAGGGATGGCCGGGCCAGGAACAGACACAGGCAGCGAGGCTTGGTTGGCGCGAAGGGGCTTTAGCCAGGGAGGCAGGGCCAGGGAATACAGGCCGTGAGCAACTTGGGTTGCCAAGGCCAGGGCCAGGGCCAAGGCCAGGGGGTCAGAGGGGGCCAGGGCCCAGCGGAGGGGGGTGAGGGACCCAGGGGTCTCCAGGGACGAGTCAGGGGGCCTCCAATGCAGGACCCAACAATGTGCGCAGACAGTGTGGGGTTTAGGGTAAAAATAAATACAGTGACAACTGCTGACTCGGCCTGTGCCTGCTTGGAGGGTAAGCCAGCCTGGAGGCAAGCTCGGTCGCCCGCCTGGGGCTCCCTCGCAGGGTCTCACTGAGCGCTCGACCAGCGCCCGCCTACCCCAAAAGACAAGAGAGTGGGAGGGCGGGCGGGTTTAGGGTTTAGGGTTTAGGTTTTAGGGTTTAGTGTTTAGGGTTTAGGGTTTAGGGCTTAGGGTTTATAGGGTTTAGGGTTTAGGGTTTAGGGTTTAACGTAAGGTTCCGGGCTTAGGGTTTACCTGAAATGAGGCACTCTGGGGCCTGGTAGGTTAGGGTTTTATTGGGCTTAGGGATTAGGATTTTGGGGTTTACGATTTACCCCCCCCCCCAAAAAAAAAAAAACTACCCTTCTTGTAGGTTGCCTAAGAGCATCCTCTATCGGGGCTCTGAGAGAATTTTAACCTACCAAAAAGAGTAGGGCTTTGGACTGCACAGGGCAGGGTGTACTTCAACTCAGACTTCTCTGCGCTGGAAAGCCCCACAGAGGATCTGCCAAAACGCCAGCTGCCCACCATAGGGGAGGGTTCAGGGTTTAGGGTGGGCCCCCTTTCGGTCCCCTACATAATACGGCACCCTTTACTAGGCACCCTCATGCAGAGAGGTTCCAGCATAAGGATATGGTCAGTTTCTCAAAAAGAATGGTCCCATTTTTGGGTACCCCAAGTAAGAGGGCTGCCTTAATATAAGGACCCCAAAAGGGACCTCACTTTAGATATGGAATTCGAGGGAGGAAGGGAGGGTGGGGGGTTCTGGTTCCTGTAATTCTTTTGCTTAACATGGCAGTCCTACAAAACCCACCGAAAACTCCGCAGCACGTGCCCGTCCTTTGTGCCCAACAACGCATTCCAGAGCCTGAGCGGTGTTTGGCAACTTCTGAAGCTAGTGGTGAAGTCCGGTTTAGCGGTTTAGGAAGTTAGGGTTTCGGGTTTAGGGAGTATGGTTGCCCTAAATCCTAAGCCCGTTTAACTCAAAAGCCTTGGCCCACGCAAACTTGAAACCCAACAAGACTGTACTCTCAGGCGTGCCCATGGCAACAGGAACGGGGCTTATGCTGCGTTCTGGTTTTATAGTTCAGGGGGCGTAGAGCCCAGAGTAAAACACCCACCATCGTTCAGAAGCCTGAACCTCCTAAACCTCCTAAACCCCCTAAACCCCCTAAACCCCCTACAGACTGGATAAGCAACAAAGCCGGCTTTTACTTATCACCGGGATGAAGAAAAAAACCTGAGACCCGAAATCCTGTGGAGGGGGGGGGGGGGGGGGGGGGCACTGAAATTTTGAAATCCTAAGCTGACGGGCTGTAATGGGGGAACTCGGGTCTGAGGTACCCTACATCCCCTCTATACAACGCCGGAGGATATAGGGCACCTTACCACCTCCCTAAGTGAGCGCGTGCAAAAATCCTCGAGAAAGGCAGTGCACCTTACAGACCAAGCCCTCGACCCTAAACGGAAGTATACAAAAGGCCCAAGCGCTCGCAGCATCAACCCAGGCATTCGCGCAATTGTGAATTCAAGCCTTTTTTCAACTCAACCGGGGTGACAGTTTAGGGCTAAGCCTCTGCTTCAGGCCCAGAAACACTATGGCACCAAAGCCTAGAAACCCTGAACCAGTCAGAACCAGAATCTGAGACAAGATGCGTGAGGCCGTTGTCCACCCGCATTCGTGGGAAAAGCACAGCCGTCAGAAGGTGCCGACCTCCGTCAAGGGTTTAGGGTTAGGGTTTAGGGTTGAGGGTTGAGGGTTTAGGGTCTGAGCAGGTTGGAGAGTTTGGGGGTTTAGGGTCCAAGGTTAGGGGTCGGTTTTGTGCCTTTGGGGACCAGATCAGCCCCTAAAATTGGGGTCATATACCCTATGCTGCGATAAGCCGTATTAAGTTAAGGCATATGAACCACAAATCCTTTCAGGGTTCAATTGGTCCCCAAGGCGATTGGCAAGCCATTTACGCACGCTCGACCCAGCTTGAGGAGATTTCGCCGGGACTCGCCGGCCCATGCCACAAATTCGCCACGTACATTAAAAACAAGACAAACCCTAAGGGTCCATATGCACTTAAATAGGGAAGACTTGGCCCTCAAAGTACTTCCTATGTCGGGGTTTCGGGTTTAGGGTTCAGGGTGTAGGGTTCAGGGTTTAGGGTTTAGGGTTTAGGGTTTGGGGACCTTGGGGCCCAACTATACGTAGAATGATAAGGTGCGTGCGGGTTTTTTTTGGGGACACCTTTCTAGTACAGGAGCCTTTCGACTCAGGCTCCAGGGTTCCTATTGTGGTACCCTTCTATTAAGGGTTTAGGGTTTAGGGTTTAGGGTTTTAAGGGCTCCGATTCTGGAGCCTTGTACTTAGGGTTCGTAGGGTTTAGGGTTTAGGGTATGTGTCAGAGAACTGCCCATATCAGTTAAACTTGGGTCTGGTGTAGTCGGGACAGAAGTTTGCAAAAGACATCCTAAATCCTAAACCCGACAAATTGCAGCACACGCCTGCGCCGCGGAGCAGGTAACACCAAAAGCATGACATCAAGCGACGCCCTAAAGCCCTGAAGACACCAACCACCCCGAGAAGGTCCCCTTTTTTCCAATCATTTTGGGTTAGGGTTGCATCCGAACACCCGAAAACGCTACATCCACAATCCTGTGTCCTAAGCCAACTTGGGGGTTTGCGACAGTGGGGGGGGGGGGGGGGTACCCGTTGGGGGGGACCCTTTAAGGCGATTCCTTTTTGGGGGTATACAAAGGGGTACCCCTATTTCCCCAGTCCTTAGTAGAGATTACAGTAGGGGTACTGTAATCCTTATTTAGGACTGCTAGAAACCCTAGACCCTCGACCCTAAACCCTAAACCCTAAATCCTCGGGAACATTCCAAGAGTTTAGGCAAGCCCTAGCACCAACGAAAAGAAAGAGGGAAGCCACCGGGCTTCCTAGGTTTACCCTTCAACCTTCCGGGTTCAGGGTTTAGGGCTAGGGTTGATGGGGTTTATGGTTTAGGGCTTGGGGCTTAGGGCTTTAGGGTTTAGGGCTTTAGGGTTGGGGGGTCCTTGGGGGGTGTCGGGTGGACCTCGGCTTTTGGGACCTATGGACTCTCGCCTAGGTTCCCCAGGAACTTCCGAGGTTTCGGTTCTGTTTGTGGGGCTGATGGCTTGGGGTAAACCCTAAACCCTAAACCCTAAACAAGACGGAACTCCTTTCAGCAACTATAGAGAAGCCTAGTTCGGACACTGAGAGAGTTCAGGTCTTGGGGAAGTTTAGGGTTCATAGGGTTTAGGGTTTAGGGTTTAGGATTTAGGGTTTAGGGTTCAGGGTTTGGGGAGGGTTTAGGGTACAGGGCTTAGGGTTTGGAGATCAGGGGCCCGGCCGTCCGCGCCCCACTCGGCGGACACGGCACAGTTCGCCTTGCCCAAAAGAGAGCTACCCAGAAAATCTCCCCACCGCCGCGCCCCAAGATGTCCGCAGCGCATGAAGACCCCTACTATCCTTGGGGACGAAATGAACCCTAAAAGGGTTTATGGTTCATATACCTCAATAGGAATTCTAGTAGTAGAGGGTATATGACCCCAATTTTAGGGTTCATGTCGTCTTTAAGGATAGGGGCCTGAATAATGAGAATAGGGTTGCGGGGGTTCTTCAAGTAGAGATATATAGGCACCATACTAGAGGGGCCGTAAATGATTGGAATACGGGATTTGGGGGCTCTTACAGTAGTATTGACACCGGGACCGCATGAGGGAATACTATCTAAAAAATTGCTGCGACTCGTAGAGTATACCCGTATATTAAATGAAACATAATGGCTACAACAACCTGTGATTACCAGGTATCCATTAATGGCACCTCCAAAAACCACAGCTGCTGAAAAACCTACCCCAAACCCTAAACCCTAAACCCTAAACCCTAAACCCTAAACCCTACACCCTACACCCTACACCCTAAACCCTAAACCCTAAACACTTGAAAACCTCAGGTGCACCATCCAAAAGCTCCGAAGTGAACCCTCGTCCTGTCTTTGTCATGTCCCAATCCGAAACATGTTTAGGAGTCGCAGGTGCAGAGATTAAGCTCTCAATTTAGGGTCTAGGGTTTCAGCCCTAAACCCGAAGTGCCCCTCTTAGCCCTATGAACCTCAATCATGAACCTCAATCATGCCCCCCCCCCCCCCCCCAAAAAAAAAAAACACAGACCCTACACCCTAAACCCTAAACCCTGAACCCTGAACCCTAAACCCTCGCCAAAACTGCCGAATGGCCCACAAGCCCCAAGGAGCAACCACTGCAGGCTCTGGAAATGCAACTGCCGAGCGGCTCCGAAAGAGCCCTCCCCCCCAAGAGACCCAAAGAGGTTTAGGATTGAAGAGGTTTAGGGTTGGGGTTCAGGGTTCAGGGTTCAGGGTTCAGGGTTCAGGGTTCAGGGTTCAGGGTTCAGGGTTCAGGGTTTGGGGTTTGGGGTTTGGGGTTTGGGGTTTGGGGTTTGGGGTTTGGGGTTTGGGGTTTGGGGTTCGGGGCGTTTTTCCTGGCCTCGCACTTGGAGATGCGCACGAAGTCAGTCCTAGGAGGGGAGCGTGGGAGTGGCTCCGGTAGCTTCGGCTCTGTAACGTTTATGGAGGGTTTAGGGGCATTAGGGTTTTGGGTTTAGGGGAATTTAGGGTCCAGGGTTTTGTAGACTTGAGGCTTTGTAGAGGGCTTTTATAGACTTGGGGCTGCAGGCCCGTTTTTTGTTGGGTCTAGGGTTTAGGGTTTCGGGTTTAGGGGTCTTGGGCTGAGGGCTTTTAGGAATTGGCGGTCTAGGTTGTTAGGGTAGCATAGGGGTAGGTTAGTGGTATAGTACAGGGTTGAAGCCGCAGCCTCCGTTTTGTAGGGGGAGCGGGCTCTGGGTTTTTCCCTTCTTCAGCTGTGATGTGAAGGCTGCAATTCCGTGGCTTGGGCTTACCCAACACCCTATACTGGGTGTTGCTTTAAAGCCCTTTGAAAATTATTTCTGAGTCGGTTCCCTTAAAAGGGGCAAGAAGGGAAATTCAAAGTTATCCCAAAGCAATACCCAGTATATAGTCTGCTGTTGGTGCCTAGTTCCAGCAGTCTCGGTTGGGTGCTGCGATTTCTGGGTTCGCGTGGGTCTGGGAGGAGTTGTCGGGCTTGAGGGTCGTCAACTTCGGAAGCCTGTCTCTGCACCTACCCAGCGCGTCAGCTTGTCGGATTCTTGTGGATCTTGGAATAGAGAGAAAACCCGAAACCACAAACCTCAAACCCTAAACCCTAAACCCTAAACCCCAAACCCTCATGGCCACAACAGCCCGGGGCACTTGTCGCCAGTTCGGCCGTAGAAGTCCATCTCACCAGCCAGATTCCTCCGCGCTTTGGTGGGTTGCAGTTGTGATTCTCCAGCACCCTGAGCTAACGCATACCCCCTCCCCAAACCCTAAACCCTAAACCCTAAACCCTAAACCCTAAACCCTAAACCCTAAACCCTAAACCCTAAACCCTAAACCCTAAACCCTAAACCCTCAACCCTAACCCTAAACCCTAATCCCTAAACCCTAAACCCTAAAAAGCTCCATGGCGGGTCCCGAACCCAGCGATGCAGACCAGCGATCCAAAGGGGTTGAACCGAATGAAGTTGCGGTGCGCCTTGCGATGGGGACCCACATGCGCTTGGAGCTTGGTAGGGTATAAAGATTAAAAAACATTTGGGTTTAGGGTTTAGGGTTTATGGTTTAGGGTTAGGGGTTAGGGTTTTCGGCAAACCATTTTTGAGGGTCTTGGGCTGCGGCAACTCCATTCAAGAACAACGCCCTTTACACCTCGTCTTTCCATTGGCCGCGAACTGCACTCGCATGCCTGTCGTCGCTGAGTTCGCCTTATACCCTGGCCCTGAACAACCCTACACCCTACACTGTACACCGTACACCCTACACCTAAACCCTAAACCCTAAACCTGTGGTTGGTTTCGTTTTGAGTAGTGCTGGGGTGGTCTTGGGGTGGGCATGTCCGCATATTCCTGCGCCTTACCAGCGCGACTTCGCCAAGCACATCCTAAACCCTTTTGTTTCCGCCCCCTAAACTCTAAACCCTAAACCCTAAAACCTAAACCCTTCTTTGAGGGCCAGAGGGCTGCTTCACCGACACTTGCTGATGCCCTAAACCCTATAACCCCCGAACCCTAAGCCAGAAAACCCTAAACCCCGAAACACTAGAACTTAAACCCTAAACCCTAAACCCTAAACCCTAAACCCTAAACCCTAAACCCTAAACCCCGAGAAGCTGCTGCTAGTAGCAGGTTGCCTTCTCCGTGAGGACCTTGGCGCATGTCACCTGGGCAGCGGTCGGCTCAAACGGAGCCAATCCTCTCAAATCTTTCCAAACCCTAAAACCTAGACCCTAAACCCTAAACCCTAAAACCTAAACCCTAAGCCCTAAGGCCTACAGAGCCTCCACCCGGCAAACCCCGCAACCCTCAATCGGTCATGCGAGGCTTCTTTCGGTCCTCTTGACATGCCTTGAAAGCTGCCATCCCTGGGCTGCCCTATACCTTAAAGACGAAATGAACCCTAAAATTGGGGTCATATACCCTCTACTACTAGAATTCCTATTAAGGTATATGAACCATAAACCCTTTTAGGGTTCATTTCGTCCCCAAGGTATGGGAGGCTCGCTGTACCATGCTCCCTTTTGGGGATCCTTTTTCTAAGAGGGGGACTCCCTTGGGACCGCGTGAACCCTAAAATTGGCATCATACACCCTATACTAGTAGAATCCCTCTCTTGGGGTATATGAACCATAAACCTTTTCAGGGTTCATGTCGTCCCTAAGGTTCGTTATATTTAGGGTACCCAAAAAAGGGACTTAAATTTAGAAGCCCTCAGATGATACTACCATTCTTTGCCTGCCTCAAGCCGAGTTTCGGATTTAGGGTTTAGGGTTTAGGGTCATGACCGAATCTCTTGCAACAGACTGGAGGCAGACGCGCCGCAGATTATATTAGGGTTCACTCGGTCCCCAAGGACGTTCAGTCTTGCACCGCGTGGTTCTCACAGGTGCCAATCGACCCCCTTTGTGGAACAAATGAACCCTACAAAGTGCTGATACACCCTAAACCCTAAACCCTAAACCCCAAACCCTAAACCCTAAACCCCAAACATAGGGGGGCAGATGACCCTTGAGGGTTCATTTGGTCCCCAAGGGCTGTGCGAGCGCAGCTCGCCGTTTGTATCCTCACTGTTGGAGCAGGGGCTCACGGGCTGCTGCACTACGGATCCCGAAGGCACGACGGCGGAAGTCCTGGAAGACCTTGGCGGCCAAGTGCGCCCTACCACGGGGATCCTATGTGACGGTGTAGCTTATAAGAGCCCAGTAAGGTACTCTTATGAATGAAGAAACACAGATCATAAACCCTTTTGGGTTTCATTTCGTCCCCAAGGGACGAACCACAGCACCATCAGCATAGCGAACGCGAAGATTGAGTCGCCCAGGCCTCGAGCCAACTTCATCCACTGGACTGTGGGATCTCCATGGAAGTGCTCACTTCCTTGCGGACGAAATGAACCCTAAAAGGGTTTATGGTTCATATGCCTTAATCGGAATTCTAGTAGTAGAGGGTATATGACCCCAATTTTAGGGTTCATTTCGTCCCCAAGGTTCGGGCATACCAGTAGTCATTGGCCACCGACAGCCAGAACTGGTAGATGCCGATGGGAAAGATCGACACGAAGATCTGCAGTACCATGCCTCAGACCCAGAGCTCCCTGACGACTCACAAGGGTTACCCCCCCCATCCCTAAACCCTAAACCCTAAACCCTAAACCCTAAACCCTAAACCCTAAACCCTAAACCCTAAACCCTAAACCCTAAACCCTAAACCCTAAACCCCTTGTTTTTTGTCGTTTTTGGGAAGCTCCTGAAACCGGAAAAGGAAGAAGGGCATCACGAGCCTCTCCTTGGGAAGATTCAGATCACATACCCTATACCAGTAAAATCCCTTAAGAGGGTATATGAACCATATCCCCTTTTAGGGTTGAGTTAGTCCTAGATGCCCAGGTTCATATACCCAAATACTGTATAATCCCTCTTAGGGTATATGAACCATAAAACCTGTCAGGGTTGATGTGGGAGTTCGTCCTAGATGCCCAGGTTCATAAGCTTCAGGCCCAGGTCGAGCCAAGTGGTGTCCTTAGTTGCTCTGTTCATAAGCCCCCCCCCCCAAAAAAAAAAAAAAAAAAAGTGCACACTTTCAGTTCTATGGCCCTAAACCCTAAACCCTAAACCCTAAACCCTAAACCCTAAACCCCAAAAAGCGTAAAGTGTACTTACTCTCCTACTAAGTGTCCCAGTCGGCCTTCAGGTCCGAGAGGCGTAGGACCAGAAGCCCCAGCGCCATCGCCAGCACCTTGGGGACGACATGAACCCTAAAAGGGTTTAGGGTTTAGGGTTTAGGGTTTAGGGTTTAGGGTGTAGGGTGTAGGGTGTAGGGTGTAGGGTTTAGGGTTTAGGGTTTGGGTTTCTTTTCTGGTCAATAGTACCTTGGTAGGAATTGTAGTGGTATCCCTTAATATTACCTTAATAGGAAGTGTAGTAGTATAGGGTAGTAGGTCCCCAATGTTAGGGTTCAGCTGGTTCCAAGGCACGCCATAGACGCCCCACAGGGCTCCGTGGCTATGCGACAGTGTGAGATACCTTGAGTTTAGGGTTTAGGGTTTAGGGTTTAGGGTTTAGGGTTTAGGGTCTAGGGTCTAGGGTTTAGAAGGGAGACTTGCGGACCCGGTTTCTTTGCTTATACAACTAGATGTTTGATTCTATGTATGCCTGTATTAGATACTATGTTGATACCTTCTGCCTCTCAAGCGAACCGGCTAAACAAAGCAACTCGAACAAAAACATGTTGCAAGTGAACCGTGAACCTGTAGGAATCCTTTCAGTGTTTGTTTCGCCACCCAGGTACCCACCGATCATGTAGTACTGTGACAGCGGCGGGTTGATGATGAAGCCCAGAAACCCAGCACCAATCAGGTTCCAGAAGGCAACGTAGATGAAGCAGTCGATGATGGACTTGTACTTCATCAGCCAAGAGTTGCTGGGCTTCTTTGCCTTCGCAGCCCAGCAAAAATATTTTAACCATAAGGGTTTGAGGTTTAGGGGGTTTAGGGGTTTAGGGTTTAGGGTTTATAGGGTTTAGGGTAGAAGAGTACCCCTTTTGGGGGTTGGTTACTTTCTAGCGGAACCTTGAACCAAACAAATGGCAAAAGGGTACCACTGGGCTAACAAAGTTGCCGCTTTTTCAAGCGCAATGTATTCGCTTGCCTCCATGCCCATGAGTGCCAGGGGGCACACTTCCAAGCAGGAGAAGCAAGACCCGACGGCCATGATCATGGATGGCGTGCCCGCAAAATAGTTGTGGTGGTACATGCCTTGTGGACGACATGAGCCCCCCAAATTGGAGTTCATACACCCTACTATACTACTGTAGACCCTATGAAGGTCTATGAACCACATAAACCCATGTAGGAAAGGGTCATATTACCCTTTACTACTACAAACCCTATTAAGGTATGTGAACCATATACCTTAAACCCTAAACCAAACCCTAAACCCTAAACCCTAAACCCTAAACCCTAAACCCTAAACCCTAAACCCTAAACCCTAAACCCTAAACCCTAAACTCTAGGGTTCATTTGGCCTCCAAGGTGCCTGGGATGCCGCCGAAGAGGAACACGCCGCTGGTGAAGAGCGTGACGCCCGCGGCGGCGGAGGGCTCCAGGACGCGGAGCATGACGAAGACCTGCCTTGGGGGGTTTAGGGTTTAGGGTTTAGGGTTTAGGGTTTAGGGTTTAGGGTGTAGAGTTTAGGGTTTAGGGTTTAGGGTTCAGGGTTTAGGGACCCGTGGACCTCTAAAGGGGTTTGCGGGCTCATAGACCTTCGTACAATGAACTCTGAACGGGTTTTTTGGGCTCATATACCTTACTACTAGGGTTTTTTTGTAAGATAGGGTGTATCCTAAACCCTAAACCCTAAACCCTAAACCCTAAACCCTAAACCCTAAACCCCCAAGTTTTGGGGGTTCATTTAGCTCCCTGAGGTGCGCGACGACCACAGTGATGAAGACCTCAAACATGCCTTCGACCCACATGTGAACCTTCGGGACGAAAAGCACCCTAAAAGGGCTTATGGTTCATATTACATTAATGGGAATTAGAGTAGTATGGGGTATATGACCCAGATTTTACTAAACGGGTTTATGGTTCATATTACATGAATAGGAATGATAATAGTAGAGGGTATATGACCCAGATTTTAGGGTTCATAGACATGAATAGGAATTATAATAGTATAGGGTATATGACCCAGATGTTAGGGTTTCAGATTGCATGAATAGGAATTATATAGTCGTATAGGGTATATGACCGAGATTTTAGGGTTCATTTGGTCCCCAAGGAACGATCCAGAAGCGCCAGTAGTCCATCACGGCCAGGTTAGATCGAGCATTATACATCCTTGGGGACGATTCATGGACCCTAAAAGGGTTTATGGTCCACATTCCCTTAATAGGGGAGTATAGTAGCAACAGGGCGTATCCTAAAAGGGTTTATGGTCCATATTACCTTCATAGGGAGTATAGTAGTTATACGGTGTGTGACCCTACTTTTAGGGTTCATTTTGGTCCCCAAGGATCAGGCCAGAAGCCCAGAAGAAGGAGATCAGCACGGCCGCACAGGTGATGATGACGACCAGGTGCCACTGGCCACGATCATCCTCCGAAATTCTTGGCTTGCGCAGCGCGGGGTGAACCGCGTTCAGCATGAGCAGCAGCCACAAGAGCAAGCCGACCAGCAAGAAGTACTGGTAGAAGCGGCCCAGCTCCACGTACTCGTAGCCCTGGTGGCCGAAGTATTGGCTCATGAGGAGGCTCTGGAAACTCTGTGTGATGGCGGCCACCTGCCCTGCCATGGATCCCCCAACGATGATCAGCAGGCAAAGAAAGAGAAAGTCGCACAGAGGCTTTTGTAGCGGGGGATCCTCCTTGGGGACGAAATGAACCCTAAAAGGGTTTATGGTTCATATAATACCTTAATAGGAATTCTAGTAGTATAGGGTATATGACCCCAATTTTAGGGTTCATTTCGTCCCCAGGCTCTTTGCGGCCACCAATGGCGGGTGCGAGGAACAAGCCAGCTGCAAGAAAGCTGGTCGCGATGGCAAACACGGCGGACTGCGTGTGCCACGTGCGAGCAACAGTGTAGGTAACGTGCTGCGTCAACCAGTTCGGGAAGCCCATGTTTCCTTCAATGGTAAGGTGCACGGTGTACACGCCGAGGCAGATCTGAAAGCCGCTGAGGAAGAAGACGACGTAGACCCACTTGATCCTAGGCCCCGCAAAAAAACCCTCTGAAACACATTCCTCAATATTATCCTCCTATAAAACCAATAAGGAAAAAAGTTATAAAAAAGATGTCTCTTCTCAGGGCCTACCTATAGGATCATGGAGGCCACCCTAAACCCTAAACCCTGAACCCTATAAAACCAATAAGGAAACAAGTATAAAAACAATTCTCTTATCAGGGCCTACCTAGGATCATGGAGGCCATCGAGGGCGTCACCACGAAGTCCTTCAGCGGGTCCTCCGCGGGCGCAGGGAGCTGACCTTGCCTTGGGGACGAAACGAACCCCAAAAGTGGGGGTAATACACCCTATACTACTATACTCCCTAAACCTAAACCCTAAACCCTAAATACTAAACCCTAAACCCTAAACCCTAAACCCTAAACCCTAAACCCTAACTTTCATTTCGTCCCCAAGGTGCTCGCTGTGGTGCACGGATCGTACCCAAGCCAAGGCGCCGATGCCAAAAACCTTGCTGGTGGTTCGTAGGGTTTGGGGGGGGGGGGGGGGGGGAATGCTAAACCCTAAACCCTAAACCCTAAACCCTTTATATGTATGTATATATATATATATGTATACATAGGGTACCCTGTATGTACCCTTATAAAGGGCAGGTATAGGGTACCCTCAGTCGCCCATTCCCGGCTAACCCACAGTAAGAAGCGAGGAGAGCAAGGGAGGCACTCGACCACACGATCACTTCAGGCGACACCTAGGCCGTGGTTGGGATCGTCTTAAACATTTAGGGTTTAGGGTTTGGGGTTGAGGTTTAGGGTGTAGGGATTGAAACTTACATTTCTTACAGAGTTAAAGTACTCTTTGAAGATGTAGAACGTTACCCCACGATGGCAAAGACGCAGAGTTGCCCACGAGGCGCTCTTGAGGCCAGTTGTTCGTGTAGGTGTGACTCTGTCCTGGCCTTTGCGTCACGCAAGCCCAGGCCGACCAGAAGACGAAGCCCGCCATCTTCTCTGCCTGCTCTACCAGTTGCTTAAGAGACCACCAAAAGAAAAATAATAATAGTTCCTATATTGCCCTTGTAAGGAAGAATATCTTCTGTTTGTTGGGGGTTCTTTAAGCAAATAGTAGAGCCATCTTCTCCGCCTTCTCCTCGCTGTACAGGGCCACGTCTTTGACCTGAAAAAGCTTCCGCACCTTTGGGAGGTTTTCAATCTCCGGCGAGCTTGAGGCCCCAGTGAACAGCGCCACGTAGAGCTCCGTCAGCCTGCGCAGCACCTTGGCGCGGATGGGATCGATCTTCACCTCATTGGTCTCCGGGCTGTACGTGTTCTTCCGCACCAGCTGGACATAGCCGGAGGCGTTCGCTCCTTACTTGCTGAGTTCAGAAGCCCCCCAAAAAGTGTACACTGTCACTTCTACCTTGGGGACGAAATGAACCCTAAAATTGGGGTCATATACCCTCTACTACTAGAATTCCTATTCAGGTATATGAACCATAAACCCTTTTAGGGTTCACTTCGTCCCCAAGGTATAGGGGATTATGGTAGCCCAAAAAAAGTGTAGAGCGTGCTCACTCAGCTACAGAGTCTCCCAGAAGCTCAAGGGTCATCCTGGCCTCACGATGCAGCCAGTCAGCGGACCAGTCGGGAGCCTGCAGGGTTTAGGGTTTAGGGTTTAGGGTTTAGGGTTTAGGGTTTAGGGTTTAGGGTTTAGGGTTTAGGGTTTAGGGTTTAGGGTTTAGGGTTTAGGGTTTGAGCCTGCAGGGCCCCATGTCCCCAAACGGAGCCCATCTGCTGGCCACCGATTGACTGCCATATCCTTGGGGACCAAATAAAAAAAACCCGAAAAAGTGGGGGTCGCAGACCCTATTTACTACTATAATTCCTACTAAGGTAGTATGGACCATAAACCCTTTCTGGGGTCCATTTCGTCCCCCCAAGGATCTGCTGCCCCTCCAAGACATCTTCGCTTGTCCAAAGCACTGGGCCGGGATGGCCTTCCAGTCGGAAAGTCGGAATTGGGGGCGCGTTGTCATAGATGATCTTGCCAGTGAAGCCCATGACGGAGAAGCCCGCGACAAAGACACAGGCCACCGCAACCCATCCCTTGCGGATGCTGTAGTAGGGGTAGTCATCGTCGCCCGAGCTCTTCTTCATGGTGAAGGAACGCCCCACCATCTTCGCGCTCCAACCTCTACGACTCCGACGAGTTTTTCAGTGGGCACCCTTGCCCTTGAGCCTCGTACTGACAGCGAGTAGTTTACGACGTGCTTGGGCATGACATCATGTTGCGGTACGATGCCGGAATATGATGTAGGAGCGTTGCGCTGGGTTGCGCACTAGAACAGTATACCAGACCCAGGAGTAACTTAGGAATGGAAAAGGGTGCACGTTTTGGTTTTTAAGGGGATTATAAGGGAACCCCAACCCTAAACAAATGAAATAAGGGCCTACTCCGGGTCCTAGAGTATAGTAACAGTATCCCTAAGGGCCCATGTACGTGATTATTATATACCTGGGTCCAACAGCAGGAAGTACGGCCCAAGTATCCCTATTTAGGTCCATGGATCCGAAACCCTAAACCCTAAACTCTGAACCCTAAAGCCTGAACTCTACACACTCAAAACCTAAACCCTAAACCCTAAACCCTAAACCCTAAACGCTTAGGGTATGTGAAAAGCACACTTGTCATGTCCAGCTGCAGCTGGGAGGAAGGTTGCCCACGTCATGGGGCCCGTGCGCGGCCCCCGGGGAGAGATTTCTACAATTACATAGGGGTCCCATCTAGGGTTTAGGGTTTAGGGTTTAGGGTTTAGGGTTTAGGGTTTAGGGCTTAGGGTTTAGGGTTTAGGGTTTCGGGTTCAGGTTTTAGGGGTTTAGGGGTCCTAAGGGAGGGGGGTACAGGGAGGGTATGTAACACCAGGTTCCCGAACACTCCCCACTACTCCCTCAGGCGCCCGAAGCTCGACGCAGGCCCTGCGAAGGACAATGGCACACACACCATGGTAGGCACGACAACCCCGCAGACAAAAGTGAACAAACAAAAAGGGTCTAAACCCTTCATGCTCTCAGCCCGATGCCCTCAACCTCCCAGTCTAAACCTCAAACCCTAAACCACTTTACTGTGTCTAAAATTAAGATGTTCCCCTTGTTTTCTGACAGTCCTTGATCAGGATTATCATAGGGGGTACTACAATCCCTCTCAAGGACCTTTCGTATAAGGGGCAACATCCCAAAATATACTGTCTAGAAACCCTAAACCCTAAACCCTAAACCCTACACCCTAAACCCTAAACCCTCAACCCTAAACCCTAAACCCTGAACCCTAAACCCTAAACCCTAAACCCTAAACCCTAAACCCTAAACCCAAACCCTAAACCCTAAACCCTAAACCCTAAACCTTCGAAGCCCCCGAATGGCGTCGCTGCTCACGGATCGGATGCGTGCCAAGGCGCCGTGCGCGTGGAGCTGTCCCAGCTCCACAAGGTGACCTCAAGGTGCGAAAGTTATCTTCGAAGGTTGGGTTTAGGGTTTAGGGTTTAGGGGGTTTAGGGGGTTTAGGGGGTTTAGGGGGTTTAGGGGGTTTAGGGGGTTTAGGGGGTTTAGGGGGTTTAGGGGGTTTAGGGGGTTTAGGGGGTTTAGGGGGTTTAGCGGGTTTAGGGGGTTTAGGGGGTTTAGGGTTTAGGGCTGCGGGTTTAGGACTTTCTGATTTCAGGGTTTGGGGTTTGAGGGCTTTTTGGCCTTTGGCAGATGTGCTTACAACTTGAAGGCAGGGGGGTGTCAGGGCTTCGTGACTGGATCAAAACATGGGGTCTCGGGATAAAGGTCTTGGTTTCTGGGGTTTAGGCTTGACGGACCAGATTTTTATAGGGCTTGGAGATTTACTCACCTCGACCCGCCCCAGAACTCAAACCCTCGACCCAGAACCCCAAAAACCCAAGACCCCTCGTTCTGATTCTGCTATAGGCACGAGTGCATTGCGGGGGAGCTGGGGCATAGGGCTGGGAGAAGGTAAGAGTCTCTAGCGAAACTACCCAAATGAAAATGCCTCAGCCAAGGTCTGTAGAACCCCCGCCCGAAACAAGAAACACTAGTTCCTTAGTCTTTGAGTTAAAGCCCTAAACCCTATAGACCCCCCCCCACCCCGTGCCGCCCCAGCCGCAAACCCTAAACCCTAAACCATAAACCGTATAAACCCTAAACCCTAACCCTAAACCCTAAACCCTAAACCCTAAACCCTAAACCCCAACCAAAAAACCCCAAACCCTAATCCCTAAACCCTGAACCCTAAACCCTGTCAACGAAGGAGGTCACAGCCTTGGCTGGCTGATAGCCGCGGATGAGGATGAACTCATCCCTGGTCGGCGACCACTCCACAGCCTTGCGCAAAACCGAACGGTGTAGGGTTTAGGGTGTAGGGTTTAGGGTTAGGGTTTAGGGTTTGGGGTTTGGGGTTTGGGGTTTAGGGTTTAGGGTTTAGGGTTTAGGGTTTAAGGTGTAGGGTTTAGGGTTTAGGGTTTGGGGTTTGGGGTTTGGGGTTTGGGGTGTCAGGTTTTGGGTGTTGGGTAGCTACATGGTCCCTTGATATGAAACCTCAGAAGGGGGCCCTTACATGCCCCTTACATAACCTATCCAGCCCAAGGGCCCATACTTCAGAACCCTTCAAAGAAGGCAAGGGACCATACTTGAAGCCCTAAACCCTAAACCCTAAACCCTAAACCCTAAACCCTAAACCCTAAACCCTAAATCCTAAACCGAAACCCCTACTACCCTAAGACTGAAGCGATCGGGGCTTCTTGATAGATGGGGAGGGCTTTCGGCCAGCAAAGGGCTTAGAAGGCCGGCTTTGCTTCGATTCCCTCAACCCAAAAGCCCCAAATCTCCACCACAACCTTGGGGTTTAGGGTTTAGGGTTTAGGGTCTAGGGTTTAGGGTTTAGGGTTTAGGGTTTAGGGTTTAGGGCTAGCGTTCAGGCGTTCAGGGTTCCCCGAACCCCCCCCCCCCCCCCCCCCGAATCCCCCCCGCGCAAAGAACCTGGACAGCGACGCCCATGGCACCCGAAGTGACGGAGTCCGTTTCCGTGAGATCCTGCAGGGTTTAGGGTTTAGGGTTTAATTTAGGGTTTTAGGGTTTAGAGTTTAGGGTTTAGGATTGAGGGTTTAGGGTTCCGTGAGATCCTGTAGCAAGGGAGGTGCAGGGCCTCGCCCCCCCCGCTTAGGATTTGCGGGGGCCTCTAGCCGAACGGTTTAGGGTTTAGGGTTTGGGGTTTGGGGTTTGGGGTTTGGGGTTTGGGGTTTGGGGTCACCCGAAACCCTCCACCCTAAAGCCTCTAAAACCTGCTTCTGGACGGCTCTAAGAGGTTCGGGTACTTGGCATCTGCGGGCCAGGAAAACAGTCGAGATTGATGGGGGGTTTAGGGTTTAGGGTTTAGGGTCCAGGGTTTAAAGATTTAAAACCACAGCCCAAAGCCCAAAGCCCAAAGCCCAAAGCCCAAAGCCCAAAGCCCAAAGCCCAAAGCCCAAAGCCCAAAGCCCAAAGCCCTTCACCCCCTGAATCCTAAATCCTAAAGCCCTAAAGCCCAGCGTCCCTCAGACCCCAAAACCTCAAGGCCTTACGTAAAACCCGGGGAACCAGAGGCCCGGTTCTCGGCCTGGGCCCCCCAACTCTGGATCCTAGAGAGTTCCCGAAACTTACCCTTGATGGGTTTAGGATTTAGGGTTTAGGGTTTAGGGTTCAGGGCTCCCTTGAAAGGACCCCTGGGAGATATAGGTACCCTGGTACACTCCTGTCATTCAAAGGGTAGTTGCATGGTCCCTTCGTATGGGCCCTTAAAAGGGCACCCCTTCTATATACCTCATATACCCTGTACAAATTATGTGCCTTTAAATGGAGGTTAGGGATTATATTCAGGGCCCATGTAACTACCCTTAGAGTCACGAAAGCCCCCCCCCACTTCACGCAGAAGAACCCTAAACCCAAAACCCCAAACCCCAAACCCTGGGTCCGCGATGATCTCTCGCATAAACCCGGAAACCCCAAACCCGAAACACCCCTCTCCACTCCGCCCCTACATCCTAAACCCAAAGATAGTAGGAGCACTCCGAACTCCCCTGAACCTCCTACGTAGGGTTTGGGGTTTAAGGTTTAGGGTTTCGGATTGAGGGTTCGTGGGAGCTAGAACTGAGGCCCAAGGAAAGGCAACAAGAGTTATACCTTACCCTACAGGCCGTCAACCTCGATCCCTGTTCCCAAGCCCTGACCGCAGACCTTCTGTACCTGACCATCCGCTGACGCAAGGAGCCTGGGGAACCAAACTTAGGATGTCAGGCTGGGGGACTGTGAGGAACAGGACTCCAGGAGAGAAAGGGAGAAGTTTAACGACACCTTCTGGTCACCCTGATATGATACCTGCCCACAGACCCAAACCCATGACATGGCCCAGAACCCCTGCTTAGGGCTTAGTGCTTATTATCCCCTAGAACGCTGAACCCCCGCCTGTGGACATCAGAAAGCGCGCACATGGCACCCGCGAATCACTACTCGACAGTTCCCTTCGTGGATGGGTTCAAGGTTTGGGATTTATGATGTCCTTCGAGGCATCTACAATAGTTGAGACCTTGTTTTGGACAGTCTTGGGGCCCCGAAGCCCCAAGCCCGAAAATCCCCGAGAAAATCTGGGCCCTAAACCCCCCAAACCCTAAACCATGAGCCTTACCTGGGACTCTAATTTACCTACAGCTTAATAGATGCTTAATAGTAACTACCCCTTACTTAGTAGGTATAACACAGAAAACTGTGGGTAAAGAGAGCCCCAGCTACCTAAGGGCCCCAATCCCTGCCACAGTACTGGGGTGGAGCTGGGGCGTGCGCAGTTTCGTCTGTCCGTAATAGTTCTTGCCGGAGTCATCCACCTGCATGCGGGACAGAGAACTCTCAAAAACCTACAATCCTACACCCGAAACCCTAAACACTAGACCCTGTGTAGTGGTTTCCGACATGGGGGGGGGGGGGGGGGTTACCTTATTGGGGTCCTTATTCTAGAGGAATCCTTCTAGTTGGGGTCTATTCTTGGTGTCCCCTATTTTCGTAAACCCCCCATATAGGCCCATAGCCTTCCGGAGGAGAGTATAAGAAACCTGGAAATCGTAATATACACCAGCCTAGAGCAATCACCAACCCTCACATTTCTGCTGAAGGCTTAGCGTCTCTAAGGTTTGGGTTGACTGCATATAGGGTTTAGGCCTTAGAGGGCTCAGGACTTAGGCTTTCTAGTTTAAGGTTTAGGGCTTTGAAACCCTAACCTAATTCACCCTAGACCCTAAACTTGCCCTAAACCCTAGACCCTAAACCCTCAACCCTACACCCTAAACCCTAAACGGGGTATTTTTTGCCCTAAACCCTAGACCCTAAACCCTCAACCCTACACCCTAAACCCTAAACGGGGTATTATAGGGGTTCACGTAGGTTGTAGGGTTCAAGCTTTTTAGGCTTCAAGGCCAGAAGGCCGATGAAGCCAAAGCCCACTCCCGAAGAGGCAATCCCAAATTAGGTGACCGTGATCATCGCATTAGGGTTTAGGGTTTAGGGTTTAGGGTTTAGGGTTTAGGGTTTAGGGCGCAGGAGCCTGGGGCATCTGCTGTATCATCTTCATCAACAGAATTCCAAGCTGTTCCGATCACCCAGACCATTGCAGCTGAGAATGCTTCATCACGACCTAATCTCTACATGTAGGCCAAACCAAGATGCCTCTCGGTTCCCTGGTGCGGCAGAAAGAATACGACATGAAAGACGGCATAGCTCTTTTTGGCGTCCGAAACGAGTGGAACACATTTGACCAAGCTGGGATTGACTTAAACCTTCGCGTGTCATCGCGTGAACTCGCATGAACCACTGGGCTGTCATCCTGCCGGCCACATGTCGTGCTTGGGGACCCCATGAACCCTACAAGGGTTTATGGTTCACATACCTGAATAGGGTTTATCGCTTACTACTAATTGCTGTTCTTTTGGGGTTCTTAAGCAAACAGTAGTTTATTCTGGGTACAGGACCCCAATTCCGGGGCTCATTCACTCCCCAAGCTTGCTGGTCAGGATTGCAGCCCTCCAAGGCGCTGATGCCTAGAGGATCAGTATCTTTGGTAGCCCAGTAACCATATTATGATAAGGGCACCCTTTTTGGGGTTTCGGGTTTATAGGCTTTAGGGTTTAGGTTTATTTTATAAGGGAACCCGTAGCCAAAAGAAGGGTAAAGGGTACCAACTGGGCTACCAGGGTGTTAAAAAATCAAGAACTTAAACAGCCGGAGAGTGCCATACAAAACTCTATCTCTCCGGCAGTAGTCGAAGGGAAGGCTCCCCAAAAAAAAAGGTAGAACATCGTGCCCTGGGCATCCAGCCGATGCTTGCGCTGAGAAAGGAGCCCTAAACCCTAAACCCTAAACCCTAAACCGCTCCAAAACATCAAGTCTGAAACGCCCAGGGGCTTGTCAGGGGGTTTAGGGTTTAGGGTTTAGGGTTTAGGGTTTAGGGCCAAGTGCTGAGCAGATAAATTGCTCATCGAATGCCACGCTACTTACGAGGCAGCACAAAATTGAAACGCGAAGACACCCAGTCCCTGCGGCTGAGGGCGGCGCAAGCAAACAAACCAACCCTAGGGTTTAGGGTTTAGGGTTTAGGGTGTAGCCCGATACCCAGCAGAGCTGAGCTCACCAGGCGAGCCCTCGTCCATGACATGAGCCTCCTCTAAGAGTCGAATGACCTCGTCGAGGCCTTTCTCCTGGAGTTTACAGGGTTTAGGGTTTAGGGTTTAGGATTTAGGGTTTAGGGGCTTCTGGGGTTTCCGAAATTCTAGACTAAACCTCAGAACCCTGGAATTTCAACCTCCGACCCGAGACTCTAAACCTTAGACCTCAAACCTCACTAACCTCAGGCTCCTAACCCTAAACCCTATAAACCCTACACCCGTAAGTTTAGGGTTGAGGGCCCGCGCTATTTTGAGCCCATCCATTTGGGTCTGGAGATGCCCTCATGCTATACCACATGTGTAGGGTTTAGGGTTTAGGCTTTAGGGTTTAGAGTTTAGGGTTTTGAAGGTGTAGCCCATGGCAAAAGTTCTCCGGCTGCCTGCGATTGCACGGTTGGCATCTGGTAAGATTCAGGGTTTAGGGTTTCGGGTTTGGGGGTTAAGGGTTTAGGCTTTAGGGTTTCGGGGTTTCGGTGTTAGGGTTTGGGGTGTGGGGCTTAGGAGGTCCTGCAATATCTAGGGCACGCAAGACGGGCCTATCGCTTCGAAACCGCCCCCCCCCCCCCCCCCTCTAATCCTGCGAGTTTCAGCTTGCAGCTAAAGGCCTGGGACCCTCAAACCCAAAGTCGATACACAATTCAACCAAGTCTCGGATGCGTACTGCAGAGGCGTCACGCCCTGATTGTTGGCCATGTTCTTGTCTGCCTGCAGCCGAACCCAACATCCCCAACCCCAAGCCCGAAACCTGCAAGCCTCAACCCTAAACCCTGCAAGCCGCAACCCTAAACTCGAAAACCCTAAACCCTAAACCGTAAACCCTACTGAGATTCAGGGGTTCCAGGGTTCTGTAGGGCTCCAGGGGGCTTAGCGCTCTTTCAGGGTTTCGGTTCTACCTAGTACAAGGGGATATGGTCGAGAATTAGGGTTGATTTGATCACCCCAAACCCTAAACCCTAAACCCTAAACCCTAAACCCTAAACCCTAAACCCTAAACCCTAAACCCTGAACCCTAAACCCCCACATGCCTTTTGTTCCAGCAGCTCCCGGATGATCGGCAAGCTGCCGCTCTGGCAAGCAACGAAGAGCCTCCGTTTCAGAGTCAGGGTTGAGCTCAGACGATTTAGGGTGCAGGGTCTAGGGATTAGGTTCTAGGCCGTAGGGTTTAGGGTTTAGGGTTTAGGGTTTAGGGTTAGGGTTTAGGGTTTAGGGTTTAGGGGAAACAGAGCCGCATTCCCCAAACTGCCGCGCTCAGGCTTTCGGGGTGCTTTTCTCCCGTATTATTTGAGAAGGAGGGAGGAGAGGGGTTTAGGGTTTAGGGTTTGGGGTTTGGGGTTTAGGGTTTGGGGTTTAATTAGGGTTTAGGGTTTAGGGTTTAGGGTGGGGGGGGGGGGGTTTAGGAGGTGGCTTTAATATGAGGGTAGCGGCATTGAGCAGAGCCCATCCATGAAGATCCTCATTACCCTAAACCCTAAACCCTAAACACTAAACCCTAAACCCTAAACCGGGGTTTTGGGGAATCGTCTGCATTCAGAGATGCGGCGTCTCCCCCGTGGGGCTGGCTTGGTGAATCTTGGCCCCTTGAAGGAGCAGCCGGCGCACGATCGAAAGGCTCCTGTACCTTGGCTCCGAGTGCATCTCAACCCTAAACCCTAAACCCTAAACCCTAAACCCTATACCCTAAACCCTGTAAACCCTAAACCCTAGGCGCTAGCAAGCTTCATCTCTTTCTGAGTCAGTTCTCGACATCTACTGTCTCCTCCTGACAAAAATCGAATACCCCTTTTTTTTTGGAAAAGCGTACCTAGCCTGGCGGGCCATGAGCCGATAAACACCAATGGATCTTCGAACGATCTTTCGCACATACCCCGTTGCTGGGGTAGGCTTGGGGGGCCCTACAAAAAACTCTTATCTTCTGGCTTTACCAGGACTATAGTATGGCTTTATCAGGACTATAGTATGGATTGAGGGTAACACTAAGGATGGATGGATGGACTGAAAACGCCGCGGGGTTCTGTAGCCAGAGGGATACCTTCCCTTCTACCATCCCACGGTGTGCGGTTTACGGTTTACGGTTTAGGGTTCCGCAAGCGCCATGGGCTAAACCCTGAAAGCCCTAAACCCTAAAACTCGCAGTTCTAAGGCCCCCCCCCCCCAAAAAAAAAAAAACAAAACACACACACACACACACACACACACACACACACACACACACACACACACACACACACACACACACACACACACACACAAAAACAAAAACAAAAAAAGCGAGAGTGATGCCCAATCTATCCCCCAAGGGTGCCTACCTGGGCTTCGAGTTGAAGGCAAACTCCTTAAATCCGAAGGGGTTCAGGGCTCAGGCAGTTTTGGGGTTTAGGGTGTTGGGGGATCAGGGAGGGCTCAGGCGGTTTTAGGGTTTAGGGTTTATAGGGCTTCAGGAGTTTAGAGTCCAGACAGTGGAAAGATTTTCGGATTTCATAAACAAGCCCAACATGCGTGTCCAAGGTACTTGCACGCCCCCAGAAGCGGAGACGTGCCGTTGCTGGCAGGCATATTGAGATCCGCGAGGTTCTCCTGACACTGTGGCCCTAAGTTTCAGGGATTTAAGGTTTGGGGCTTAGGGGTTGACTTTAAGTAAGTGTGTGTGTGTGTGTGCTTCTATATGTAAATGTATAAATAAATAAATAAATATATATATATAAGTATAAAATTTAAATAGAAACATACATAGAAATATAAATAGAAGTATAAATAGAAATATAAAATAAAAATATAACTAGAAATACAAATACTAATTCAAATATAAATATAAAGGGAAATATAAAAGAAGTGTATATATATATTATATAATTCTTTTTTTCTTTTTGCATATGTGTGCTGGTTTGTTTGTGGCTTTTGAGATGAGGTTTAGTGCTGCGGCTTTTGGTGCTGCAATCACAGGCTTTTGGAACTTTGAGGCTTTGGCTTTCGAGCTTCATGAGGCTCGGGCGTGGTGGCAGGTCTCTAGGGTTTAGGGTTTAGGGTTTAGGGTTTAGGGCCAGAGACATGACTTCAGACCCCACAGGCAGCATGAAAGTTCAGAGGACCTCATGATTGAACGCTCAAGGCTTGATTGATTGGGAGGGGTGGCTTCCGAAAATAGGGGCCTCATAACCCTGAACCCCAAACCCTGAGGTGTTGAACCCTGCCCCCTGCTCGCTGATTGGTACCCAGAACTGTTTGTTCCAGCCTCCTCCCCCCCCCCCCCCCCCCCCGAAACCTTCTGAGGCTTTAGGGGTTCAATTTACCTAAGCCCTAAACCCTAAGCCCTAAACCCTAAACCCTAAGCCCTATGCGGAGATGGAGTTTGTATGTCAAGGAGTTGGTGTAAAAGTGTCAACGAACCCGATGTTACTTGGCTCAAGGATGGCCGGGAGCCGTCCACCAGCAGTTCAAAAGTTCGTGCGCTTGGGTTTCTGGTTTCCCTCCTGGTGAACCTTATCTTGGTTGGTTTCTTCTCTTTCTGGTTCTTTCTGGGGAATTCATTTAGGCAACTGTTGAGGGTTGATACCGGGGTTTGTCCCCTTTCGGTTGCCCGCGTACCCTACGCCTCACTGTACTTAAGGACTGGCATGTGAAGCCTATGTTGTGCGGCGCCCGCTTCCTGAGGGCTAAATGCATCCTACGATTGGGGCCGATACTACAGGGTTTAGGGTTTAGGGTTTAAGCTTTAGGGTTTAGGGAGTGGGTTTAGGGTTCAGGGTTTAGGGTTTAGGGTTTCGGGTTTAGGGTTTAGGGTGTAGGGTGGTTTCGGGTTTAGGGTCCGCTATGAGATACTTTGTTTCATACCCCTCAAATGAAACTAAGAGCATGGTAAAATCCTTCCAGAGGTTCTCCATTTATAGGTTGAGGGGTATGGGTTTGGGGTATGTTGAACTATTCTTAGATACTGCAATCCCTATTCAGGCAAATGCACCCTCAACTCTTGTAGGGTTCATGTGGTCCTTAGGCTATTAGGGTTCGATACTACTACAACCTCTATTCAGGTATATGCGCCACAACCTCTTTTTTGAGGGTTCAGTTGGCCCTTAAGGTAGTTTAGAGACAAACGCATCCGCATGGGCTAGCGAAGGGCTATCATCAAACTTGGGGCTTGTGAGCACAGTCATGACAAGTCCATCGAAACTATAGCGCTGTAGGTGGACCACACCCTGAGCCCTCTAAACCCTAAACCCTAAAAACCCTAAGCCCGATAAACCCTAAACCCGATCTTAAAGACTTAACAGAAGTTATAGGGATCACAGCCCCCTAAACCCTAAACCCTAAACCCTAAACCCTACACCCTAAACCCTAAACCCTAAACCCTGGACCCTAAACCCTGAACCCTAAACCCTAAACCCCGCTCTCCATGAGCAGCTCGGCAGTGGAAAAGCTGCCAAAAGCGCAGGCGGCCACCAACGGCGTCACGCCATGGGGCGTTGGGAGGTTCAGGTCCTGGGCCAGGGTGTTTCGGGTTTAGGGTTTAGGGTTTGGGGTTTAGGGTTTAGGGGGGCTGGGCTTTGCGGGTCCTGTGGGCAGGGGCTCAGGGGTTCAGCGTCCAGAGGCCTGTGGCGGGGTTGGGGGGTTGGAGCACCTAGAGAGTCTGGCCACAGAGAGCATCTTAGAACCTTATCCCCAGAACTCCCTAAACCCTAAACCCCCTAAACCCAAAACCCCAAAGCCTAAACCCTAAGCCCTAAACCCTAAACCCTGATCCCCCGAACTGTAAGCCCAGAACCTGAAATCCTGACAGGGCTGAGGGCTTTAAGGGTGTCCTTGGGGCTCCTATGAACCCGAAAAAATTGGGATCATATAGCCTCTACTACTACAATCCCTCTTAAGGCATATGACCCCTAAACCCTTTCAGGGTTCATTTGGTCTCAGGGTCGCGCTGTCTCTGTTCAGCCGAGGTGCTGCTCTTGCGCGCAGCAAAAGACGCGAAGCTTCCATGTGGCCTTCCTTGGCTGCAAGCGCCAGCGGCGTCCTCGGCGTTTTCGAGGCAATTTTGTGTTTAGGGGTCTCCCTAAACCCTATACACCCCATAAACCTCGTCAAACCCTAGAAACCCTAAAAACCCTCTAAGCCATGTTAACCCTCTAAGCCATGTAAACCCGAAAACCTGAACGTTAGGGGTTCAGGGCTCTTGCGTTTGGAGCTTGAGGGTTTTCCTGGGGGGTTCATAGGGTATATGACCACAATTTCAGGGCTCATTGGGTCCCCCAGGTTGAGTTTAGAGGGCTCAGGGCAACAGCGGCTCAGCTTCTCAAGTGCCTGGGGTAACCTCGATGGTAGGGTTTAGGGTTTAGGGTTTAGGGCTTAGGGCTTAGGGTTTGGGGTTGCGGGTTTAGGGTTTAGGGTTAGGGGTTAGGGTTTAGGGTGTAGTGGCATTGCTGGCTACAACTTTGCTGTTCTGATCTTCCTCGACATTTATTTGCCTTGTTTGGTATGGTCACATTTGATCAAGCAACTTTTGTCTTGCACCTTGCGCTATCGAATTGAAAAACCCTAAACCCTAAACCCTAAACTCCAATACGGCACCCCCGGCCAGAGGCCCCGCACCCATCCAGAGGCAAAGCACCGATTATCACCGCGTGTAGTACGCGCACCCTAAACTCTAAAACCCTACACCATCATCGAACACTAAACCCTAAGCACTGAAGCCCCAAACCCAAACTCTCAACGCTATTAGAACATAGACCCCAAACACCACAAGGAACCTAGCACCGTGTGCCCTTTAAACTCGATTGTCGATGTTTGGCCCTGAACCCTGAACCCTAAACCCGAAACTCCTAAACCCTACACCCAAAACCCCAAAAAACTCGAAATCCTAAACCCAAAGCCCTAAACCATAATTTCGCAGCCAGACGTTGCCGAGGCTCGTTCCGGTGACGTCGTAGGCCTTGTTGGGGTCTGCCCTGGCCTTCGCGCTGCGAGTGCGGGTTCCTTGTTGGGCCTGGAAACCTTCTGAAACCCTAAACCCGAAACCCTAAGTCCGAAACTCTAAGTCCTAAACCCTAGGCCCGAAACCCTAAATCCTAAACCCAAAGTCCTAAAACCAAAACCCTAAAACCTAAATTTTTAACCCTGAATCATACATACAATTCTATTAATTCTATTGCACCCAAAAAGGGATTTACAACATGTCCCAAGGTCCTACCTAGGTTCAGGGTTTCAGGGCTTCCACTGGAAACATGAAGCCTAAACCCACAAGACAAATTAGTGGTGTGGGGCTCAAAGAGAACTTGCAGTTTCGATGGGTTGTTATATATGTATATATATATATGTGTGTGTGTTTCCTCAAAGGCAGGTTGGGGCCAAAATTGCATCCGCATAAAGATGGCAGTACACAGTAGTAGTAGTAGTAGTAGTAGTAGTAGTAGTAGTAGTAGTAGTAGTAGTAGTAGTAGTAGTCGTCGTAGTAGTAGTAGTAGTAGGAGCAGCAGCAGCAGGAGTAGTAGTAGTAGTAGTAGTAGTAGTAGTAGTAGTAGTAGTAGTAGTAGTAGTAGTAGTAGTAGTAGTAGTAGTAGTAGTAGTAGTAGTAGTAGTAGTATAGTAGTAGTAGTAGTAGTAGTAGTAGTAGTAGTAGTAGTAGTAGTAGTAGTAGTAGTAGTAGTAGTAGTAGTAGTAGTAGTAGTAGTAGTAGTAGTAGTAGTAGTAGTAGTAGTAGTAGTAGTAGTAGGCTGGCTTCTTGAGCGCGCTGTCGGTTCACCACCCGATGTGGAAGAGGTGCTCGGAGCAGGTGCAATCGGATGTGGGAACTCAATCTCCACCTCTGATACGTCTGACGACCACTCAGTGACGCTCTCCTCACGTTCAGGCAATGATGATGGTCCAAGCTTTTCTACTCGGCGTCGCACGCGTTCGCTTCGCCTAGCCACCTGCCTGCGGGATGATCCTTGGCCACGCCCGGCTAACAACTTGAAACCCCCAAAGCACTGAACAACTAACGCTAAACCTGAACCCTAAATGCCGTAGATCCTAAGATCCTACATCCCTGAACCCCTGCACTCCTGAACTCCTGGCCCCTATTCCTGAACCCTAAACCCTAAACCCTAAACTCTAAACTCATGGCCTAGGCCGCCCCCCTACAGTTGGGGGTGGGACGCCTAAGCCCGTCGACCTCGAAAGCCGACCAGGTCGTTCGCCCGCCTCCCACAGCTCGGAAGTCGGTAGCACCCACGATGAGCGCCCGGTACCGGAGCACGTTTTTCTTGGGACCAGTACTGGTCCCTTATTAAAGTCATCAAGCTGGAGCTCCAAGCGCCGAGAGGCCCTTGACTTCCTGGGACCACCGCAGCGTGCCCAGGCAGCAGGGCGGCCTCAGCCAGGCCAGGGCGGCAGTTTTCTTCATCCTGCCCTGGCCCCCTCTGGCCCCCAGCCCTCACGACCTTTGCCAGGCCCCTGACTGACCTCTCTGACCCCTGAAACCCTTACCCTTCTTGGCTGCAATTAGCTGAATAAGTTTTTAGAAGTGGACTTTTGTCTGAGTTTAGGCCTAAACCCCAAAAGGAACAGGTTTGGGTGGCTTTGCCGCCGGACGGCGTGGGGTGGGAGAACAGTGTTTGATGGCCCTCCACAATCGGGCCAAAGCTGCTCTTCGCAGCTCACGAAGCTTTCGAGCTTGTTCCAAAACCCAACCTTCACAGCATCTACGCCCAATCACAGCAAACCCTAAACCTAAACCCTAAACCCTAAACCCTAAACCCTAACCCTAAACCCTAAACCCTAAACCCTAAACCCTAAACCCTAAACCCCTAAACCCCTTAAACCCCTAGGCGCCTCCAGCACCAGGGAAGCCACCTCGGTTTGATTCCGGCTCGCGGCCGCAAGGAGGGCCTCTGCCTTGTCCAGGTCGAACCTTTTAGGGTTTAGGGTTTAGGGTTTAGGGTTTAGGGTTTAGGGTTTAGGGTTTAGGGTTTAGGGTTTAGGGTTAGGGTTAGGGTTGCTTGAGGGTTTTGGGGTTCCCAAAAGCCCATATAGACAGGGTTTGAAAGGGTTTGGGGGCTTTAGGGCTTCAGGGGATTTAGGCTGTTTTGGGTCGGAAAGCTCAGAGGGACAAGGTATCTAGGGGGTTTCAGGTTTCTGGGTTTAGGGCTCCCGGAGTTATAGCGTAGAGGGATCTGTGCGAATTGTTTTATCGCGTTTGGAGGTTCTTTAGGTGTAGGGTTCTGTGGATGTAGGGGGGACTCTTCAGGTTCAGCATCTGGGCTTTTGGGGCTTTCGTGTACAGGGCTCACCCTAAACCCTAAACCCTAAACCCTAAACCCTAAACCCTAAACCCTAAACCCTAAACCCTAAACCCTAAACCCTAAACCCACCCTGAACCCTAAACCCCAACCCCCCACCGCCATCCACCAACCCCTCCGGTGCTCTGCACCTTGCGTGAGATCAACGAAAGATGAGCATCGGCTATCAAAGTCTTTGAGGATTTGGGGTGTAGGGTCTAGTTTAGGAATTTAGGTTTACAGTATCTAGGCGAGGGCACAGGGCTTAGGGTTTAACGCATGCGCTTGGGTCGCAAGGATGTGTTTGGGTTGGAGTTCTTGTAGATCCCCACCCTGGTTTCAAAATCCATTCAAGCCCTGTATGTACCTTCGCCTGTACTGGGGCAGGTTTGGGGGGCCCTGTAAATTAATAATGATTATGTGAGGATTAAGATTACTAAAAAAAGACATTGTGGTCAAACCTACCCCTGTGTAAGGCTTGGGGGCTTTAGGGCTTGGGCCACAACCAGGCTTAAGCGCAGTCCAATGAAAGTCAGCTCTTTACCGACCACATGAATAGGTTATAAACAAAGACAAGGTCCCCCCCCCCCCCCGTGCCCCCGGCCGGTAATAAGCAAGAGTAAGTTGAGGGGGGGGGGGGGGGGGTTATAAGGCTTTTTTGAATGCGGGCCGACGTCGATGCGATGAAAGTGATACGAGAGTGATTTGTACATTCACATGAAGAATGCCTACTATATAAGCTTAGAGGAGAAGTGGCAGTGCTCGTCAGCAGTCCATGTGGCCATGTGCGGCCGCTGCAAATTGCCAAGCAGCTGCATCTGATAAGCATTAAATACGCGAAAACGCACAAAACGGATGTTCTGGGTTCTTAAACGTCTTTGTAGATGGAAGTTCAGATGACTACTCATTGAGAATAATTTCCGAACTCTATATGACCCTCTGAGCTCTCTAAACCCCAAGACGTCCTTAAGCCATTAACCCTAAAACCCCAAACCTCCTAAACCCGAAACCCGTTCTGTTTGACCAAGACACTCAAGCATCATCTTCACCTTGGTAGCCCAGCAACCCTATTTTAATAAGGGCATCCCTTTTTTTGGGCTGGTCACTTTATAAGGGGACCCAGAACCGAAAACAGGTAAAGGGTACCACAGGGCTACCAAGACACCATCTCCATCGACCCAGCTGCGGCGGCCTTGAAGAAAGCGCCCTCGCGGTCGCTCCTCAGGAAGGGTGGTTTAGGGTTTAGGGTTTGGGTTTAGGGTTTGGGTTTAGGGTTTAGGGTTTAGGGTTGAGGGTTGAGGGTTGAGGGTTTAGGGTTTAGGGTTGAGGGTTTAGGGTTTAGAGTTTAGGGTTTAGGGTGTAGGGTGTAGGGTGTAGGGTGTAGTTAGGGGGAATTAAACCTCAAACCCCTTAACTTGGGATGTTCCCCCTTATACTAACAGTACTAAAATAAGGGGATGTTCCCCCTTATACTAACAGTACTAAAATAATAGGGGTATTATAATTAGGGGGTACTATACTCCCTATTCAGGACTGTTGGTACAAGCGGGAACATCCCAACCCTAAACCCCTAAACTCCCCACAAAACCCAACCCTACATCCCTCCAAACCGCCCAACACCTACACCGTAACCCCTTATGAGCCCCCTAAACCCTAAACCCTAAACCCTAAACCCTAAACCCTAAACCCTAAACCCTAAGCCCTAAACCCTAAACCCTAAACCCACCGGGCAGCCGAGGCACTTCTTGGTAGGGTCCGCCCTCGCCTCCAGCAGCAGGCGGGAAGCCTCCACTGTGCCCATGGAGGCTGCAACGATCAGCGGGATGGCCTGGCCGGACTTAACTTTAGGGTTTAGGGTATACAGGGTTTAGGGTTTGGGGTTGAGGGTTTAGGGTTTGTTCGGGTTAAGGATTTGGAGTTGTGGTTTGTGGGTTTCGGGTGTAGTGGTTTGTGGTTTGGGGTTTTGGGGTTTTTGGGGTTCAGGATGTAGGGGTTAGGGTTAAGGGTTGGCATGGTTATGCAGAGTGGTCAAGGTTCTTGCAGAGTTTGATCGGGCGTTTATCGAGATAGCAGGGTTTGGGTAAACTCTAAAGCCTAAACACACGATTTTGGGATCTTGCTTTGGCCCGAACATGCCTACCAAGAAGGCCCTGTAAAGCAGGACCCAGGATTAAAAGACCAAACCCTCACCGCAGCTCGAAAACCCGATGAAACCCAACCCAAGCGAACTGCCGTCGATTTCCTCTACATGTGGCGAGACCGCCCAAACCCTAATATAGGGGCCTGAATGATTGGACTGCGGTTTTGGGGGTCATTATAGCATAAATTATACAGGGAACATAAGGGAATATTGCTAGTAATTATTCCGACCCCTACGAGACCCAAGAGTACCCTGGGAATAACAAGGGCGCCTTTTGTGGTATTTAGTTGCATGATAAGGGAACCCCAACCCTCACAAAAAGGAAATAAGGGCCCCTACTCCGGGTCCCAGCCTATATTAGGATACCCTAAACCCTAAACCCTAAACCCTAAACCCTAAACCCTAAACCCTAAACCCTAAACCCTAAACCCTAAACCCTAAACCCTAAACCCTAAACCCTAAACCCTCCCCCACCTGACCATGCTCTGGGAGGTCGGGTGACGTCCGATGTTCCAGCAGAAGCTTAACCGTGTCAAGGTGATCCCCGCGACAGGCCAGGAATAAGGTGCCTGGCCAGGGTTTGGGGTTTGGGGTTTGGGGTTTGGGGTTTAGGGTTTGGGGTTTAGGGTTTAGGGTTTCGGGTTTCGGGTTTAGGGCTTCATAGGGCTGAAGGGTAGAAGGGTCTGAGGTTCCAGGGCGTCAAGAGTTTCGCTTTGAGGTTTAGGGTTCAGGGTTCAGGGTTTAGGGTTTAGGGTTTAGGTTTCGGGTTTAGGGTTTAGGGTTTAGGGTTTAGGCTTTGGGTTGCTAGAGGAGTTCGGCGCAAAGGCAGCTATTGAGCCAACATGCCCCCTTGGCTTAGTAATCGGAGCCCTACAAGCCACCATCACCGCCACGGACACCCACCCCCCGCCCATCCCCTCCATCGATGCTAGTCCCGAAACCCTACACCCTAACCCTAAACCCTTTTTTTGGAGGCTATAGGCCCCAAACCCTTAGACCCTAACCCACAAGTCCACACCAGCCATATTTAAACCCTAAAACCTTAAGCCCTAAACCCTCAACCCTTCTACAACCTAAACCCTAAGCCCGAATTAAGCCCGAAACCCTAAACCTAAATCCTCATCCCTGAACCCTAAACCCTAAACCCTAAACCCTAAATTCTTGGGCCGCACCCCGAGCCTGCGCCATCTGCCAGGCACGTGTCTGGGTTTGCCTGCGCTTCGAGCAGGAGCCGCGTGACCTCTAGGAAACCTGGGCTGTTCAGGGGTTTAGGGGTTTAGGGTTTAGGGTTTGGGGTTTAGGGTTTGGGGTTTGGGGTTGCGGGTTTAGGGTTTAGGGTTTGGGGTTTCGGGTTTTGGGGTTTATGGTTTAGTGTGTTTAGGGGGTTTATTGAGGGCCCAGGGATTGCTGTGCTTGTGGGATTCGGGCTGGGGAAGTTTGGGGCTTAGGGTTCGTGGTCGTGTATGCTTACAGCTCAGCTTTGGGCTGCGGGGCTTTTGATCTAAGGGCCCTTAAAAGGTGCCCCTTATGCACCCCTGTACAAAATAAGGGCCCATACATCAGAACCCTTTAAAGGAGGTAAGGGACCATATATTATGTAGGGCCCATGTAACTACCCTAAAAACCCTAAGCCCTAAACCCTGAACCCTAACCCTAGCCCTAGCCCTAAACCCTCAACCCTCAACCCTAAACCCTTTTGAAGCCTTAAATCCGCAACCCTCAGGTGTGGCAGCCCAACCAACCAGTAGGAATTCAGATCTGCTAGAGTTTGCCCGTTGCCCACCTGGGATTTTGCTGGGTTTAGGGTTTCGGGTTTATGGGGTTTAGGGTTTGGGGTTGCCATAGAGCAGAAACCATCGCTAACCCCTACACCCTAAACCCTAAACCCTACAACCTAAACCCTAAACCCTAAGCCCTAAACCCGAAACCCTGAGCCCTAAGCTGCCTTAAGCCCAAGTTGAGAGTTGGGTTGGTCAACAGCCCTGATGTGCCCCCGCACCCCCCGTGCACCCCCGAACCCTGTCTTGCACCAAGAAACCTGCGATCTGGTGCAGTGTTTTCGTGTTTAGGGCATATAGCGGTTAGGGTTTATGGTTAGATCGAGCCAGGCCAAGAACATAAAGTGCTAACCTAAACCGTCGGGGCCCCGGCTAAGTACGGGGGATTTGGAGGGGGGGGGGGTCCCTATAAACAAATTGCCACCCAAACAAAGAGAGCACCCCCCGTACCCGAGACCCTAAACGCTCAAGCCCCCGTAGCTTGAAACTATCCAAAAGTCAAAAAAGGAGACCTTCCTCGAAACTTCCCTCGAAACTTTCCTCCAAAACTGTCCTCGAAACTCTCCGAAACTGTTTCCCGAACCTGACGCCTGAAACTTCAACAAATCCTAACCCAACTCCAAGTGGCCGTGGTGGCACGTCAGACACAACCTTAGCTGCCAACTTGTTGAAGAGGCTTTTGTGGCGTACCTGTTTGAACACTATTTGCTTAAGAACCCTCAAGAAATGAAGGATATGAATCCTCAGATGGCCCTTGCAGGGAAGAACATTGATATGTTCTTCTTATTCTTCTTCTTCTTATTATTCTTCTTCTTCTTCTTCTTCTTCTTCTTGGAGGGCGGGTTCTTAAGCAAATTCTAGGTTTGAACACTCTGCGGCGGAAGTTGGGTGTCACTGTAGGGAGAAATGGCAACCTACTAAGCCCAAACCGCCCTAAAACCCAAACCCTAAAGCCCTAAACCTTTGACACCGCACCCTCGATCCTAACACCCCAAACCACCTAACCAAGCCCGAAACCCAAAACATCGGTCAACAAACCACCCTAAATCCTAAACTCTGAACCCCAAAACCCCCAAAAAAGACTGGCCGAAAAACACCCTAAAGCCTAAACTCTCAACCCTCCCCCCCTCTAACAAAAAAAACAAGCTGGTGGAAGAAAAAAGAAACTAAAGCCTAAACTCCCACCAACATATAAGCGAAACAAAAACCTAAACTGTGAACACTAAACCCAAGACAACCCCAGCAAAAAAAGGCTCGAACAATAAACACCCTAAACCCTAAACCCTGAACCCCAAACCCTAAACCCCAAACCCTAAACCCCAAACCCTAAACCCCAAACCCTAAACCCTATACCCTAAACAACTAAAACCTCGGTTCAAAAGCGCGGACCAAGCATCGGCGTCGCCGAGCCCTCTCGGGGATCCCGGAGGTTCGGATCGACTGGGGAGTTGAGGAGCTGTTCCTCGGAGAGAGATAGAGAGGGGTTTAGGGTTTAGGGTTTGGGGTTTAGGGTTTAGGGTTTAGGGTTTGGGGTTTAGGGTTTGGGGTTTAGGGTTTCGGGCTTAGGGTTCAGGATCTTAGGCTCCACATGGACGCGCCCGTGAGGCCCCGGCCACCTTCTGGACGGAGTTCTTGCTCACGGCCTTGATGAACTCCTCCGCCGGGAATTGAGCACTTGGGGTTCAGGGAGCCCTTAACCCTAGCCCTAAACCCTAAACCCTAAACCCTGAACCCTGAACCCTAAACCCTAAACCCTGCCAAACCTCACAGCCCCACACCCTTATGAACAGCCGCTTTGAGCTTTGAGCAAAGACGTCTGATTGGGTCCACTTGAATTATAGGGTTCTAGAGAGACTGGGGTTCAAGGGGGGTATGTAACCCCAAGGCTCCCTAGTGCACCCCACTACTCCCTAAGGCTCCCTAAGCTTCCCTGTTCCTTAGGCACCTACGCCCATGAACCTCCCTCCCTTCAGAACACTACAATTGTAGTACAATTGTGGCGCGACTTCGATAATCGTACTACAGCTACGCCCTCAACCCCAAGCGCTACAGACTTAATCTGGTTAGGGCTTATGGTTTAGGGTTTGGGGTTTTAGGATCCCAAGCATAGGATTACGTACCCCAAACCCGGAACCATAAAACCCCAGCCCCTAACCCTAAACCCTAAACCCTAACCCCTAAACTCTACACCTCTTTTCTAGGAAGCCGATCCCTAAACCCTAATCCCTACACCTCTTTTCTGGGAGGCCAAGGCTAAGGATTGAAGGGTGCAGCCGCTTTCGGATCAAGCCCCAAGGTCCATGAAACACCAATCCCGAAGTCCAACAACTGATCAAATAACCCAGGGTTTAGGGTTTAGGATTTAGGGTTTAGGGTTTAGGGTTTTAGGGGCTCCAGGGGAGTTTAGTGGGCGCCTTGCACAGCGCCTTAGTGCTATTTCGGAGAGGCAGCAGCACCAGCCTTGCTTGGCAAGCTTGGGCTTTAGGGTTCAGGGTTTAGGGTTTGGTTTAGGGTTCAGGGCTGAGAGTTTAGGGGTTTTGGGTTGAGGTTTCAAGCGTGCGGCTCTTTAGGGTTTTGGGTAAACATGCCTGGGGGCTGTTGGAGTTATGCACGGTTTGACGCCGTTTTGTGTCCAGGGTCCCATCTTCGAGGTGCCACAAGCATAAAGCTGCAACTCTTCGGATCAGACCTCTTCCTTCTGAACCTCGGGCTTGGGGTCTTTTAGGAAATGAAGTAGGGTTTATATTTCTTGTACCCCCAAAAGGACACCAAATATATACACTCCTCGATTTTAAAAAGGAGCCTTATATACACTCACCAAAAACAGAAATATATACCCTACTTCATATAAGGGCATCGGCGTTTCTGTTGGAGGATGTATGAGGTGCCGCAGTATCCGAGCACGGGGTTCCGACATGTTCTGACATCTAGGGGTTGTACCTCGGACCCTTAAGGTTGTCTTCTTGTGCTTTGGGGGGGGGCCTTTCTAAAGATCCTTGAGCTAGTATCAGGCATATTTGGAGTATATTCCGGGGAAGCTTTAGGGATACAACCTTAGGGGCAATAGAGGGGAGTGTAATTACAAAGGGACCAGAAGGGAATCTTTTATTTGAAATTACTCCGACCCCTACCCTAAACCCTAAACCCTAAACCCTAAACCCCAAATTCTGAACCCTAAACCCTAGATTACGGGTCTTAATCCCTTGATGACAAGGAGCTGAAGTTCTGCTGAGCCCTCGAGATCGGCGTCATCCTGCGGGCTGGTGGATCGACAGGTTTTAGGGTTTAGGGTTCATAGGGTTTAGGGTTTAGGGTTTATAAACCCTATAGGGTTTAGGGTGTTTAGGGTTTAGGGTTTAGGGTTTATAGGGTTTATAGGGTTTATAGGGTTAAAGGGTTAAAGGGTGTATAGGGTGTATAGGGTGTATAGGGTGTATAGGGTTAAAGGGTTAAAGGGTTATAGGGTTATAGGGTTCTAGGGGTATAGGGTTATAGGGTTAAGGGTTTAGGGTTTAGGGCTTCGGGTAGCCGAAGCCAAACCAAGCCAAGCCACACCTTTGCAAGGGGTCATGGCCGAGCGACACCTTTGCAGAAACAAAACCCTGGGGGCCCGGCTAAAGGCTTGACCCTAAACCCTAAACTCTAAACCCTAAACCCTAAACCCTAAACCCAAAACCCTAAACCCTAAATCCCAACCTATGAAGCGGGGTCTAAATAACTGTTATTGGTGAGCGTATATAAGGTTCCTTTTTAATGTTGGTGAGTGTATATGTTGGGTGTCCTTTTGGAATACAGGGGATATGAACCCTGCTTCATACATTCTGGACCTGCACACCAGTAGAACCCCACACCCTGAACCCTTTTCAACCCTAAACCCTAAACCCCAAACCCGAAGCCCTGAACCCTTTTAAATCCTTCTGAACCTTAAATCCTAAATGCCGAAACCCTAAACCCTTTAAAACCCTTCTGCCCTAAATCCTAAACCTAAACCCTGGTAAACGCTTGTTAACCTTAAGCCCCAAACCCCAAACCCTAAACACTTTTTTACACTTTAGCCCGAAACCCCAAACCCTAACCTTTCTTAAACCCGTTTAAACCTTAGACCCTAAACCCCAAACCCTCAACCCTTTTAAACCCCTTTAAACCTTAAATCCTAAACCCTTTTGAAGCCTCGAAACCCCAAACCTCCACATACAGCCTAACCCCTAAACCCTAAACCCTGATCCTTAAACCCTAAACCCCTAAGCCCCTAAGCCCCTAAGCCCCTAAACCCTAAACCCTAAACCCTAAACCTTAAACCCTGAACCCTGAACCCTAAACCCTAAACCCTAAACCTTAAACCCTAAACCCTAAACCCTCTCCTCCAGAGCCACGCCGCTCTCGAGAATGAGCCGCTGGCGAAAGCGCGGCTGGCCACAAAAGCTCTGCAAGTATCTCTTCCTTGGCGGTTTAGGGCTTGGGGTTTAGGGTTAGGGTTTAGGGTTTAGGGTTTAGGGTTTAGGGTTTAGGGTTTAGGGTTTAGGGTTTAGGGTTTAGGGTTTAGGGTTTAGGGTTTAGGGTTTAGGGTTTAGGGTTTAGGGTTTAGGGACCTTAACCCCCGAAATGCTTCAACCCTTAAACCCTACAACACCTACACATCAGTAACCCGCCCCCCAAACCCCCCAAACCCGGTAAGCTCGACTGGCAAAAGCTCCCACGTCCGTGCCTAGACTCAAAAACAAGCCATGAGATCCTCTCGGGGTTTAGGGTTTAGGGTTTAGGGTTTAGGATTCAGAGTTTAGGGTTGTGGGGGGGTTCTTCCGCTTGGGCTTGTAGCTCAGGCAGGGGGAAAATGATAACCCTCAACGCTCGAACTCCTGCGCCACTAAACAACTATTTCTAGAACCTCAGAGCTTGTACCCAACATGATAAGACCTCAGCCCTGAACCCTTACACGGTTAAGCAACAAAGCTCCTACACCCACCCTTACACCGTTGAACCTTCAATTTCGAATACCCTCAACCCAAGACACCGAAGTTGCCTAGTAACCTATTATTAAAACGTGTGCCCTTCTGTGCTTAACCCTAAACCCTAAACCCTAAGCCCTAGCCCCCTGGCCCCCTAAACCCGAAGTCCTAGACCCAAGACCCTAGACCGTAAACCCTAAACCCTAAACCCTGTACCCCAAGCCCTAAACCCTAAACCCAACTTGAAGGGCTTCCTGAGGGAGCCTAAACCCGCCAAAAAAAGGGATTAGGGTAGTACTGCTATGCGCATCCTCGACCGCTTTAAACCATTGAACCCGTAGACTCTACCTCGATCCTCTTAAGCTACCCTCCCCCCCTCCCCTATATATAGGCACCTGTGCACCAATTAATTAGGGGGTAACTTGTGGGGGGGTGGGGGGGGGGAAGGGGGGATTGGGATGCACAGGGTTTAGGGCTAAACCCTAAACCCTAAACCCTAAACCCTAAACCCTAAACCCTAAACCCTAAACCCTAAACCCCAAACCCTAAACCCTAAACCCTAAACCCTAAACCCTAAACCCTAAACCCGCCAAGTCTCATGGCCACCACTGGTCTTCCGCCCTCACCGACCAGCTCCGCCAGTTGCTCCGGTGAGACGGTTGTGACTTCCTTGCGTGGTTTAGGGTTTGGGGTTTGGATTCAGGGTTTAAGGTTTAGGGTTTACGGCTTAGGGTTTGGAAAAGGTACCCCTGGAGCATTGTTGCAAAGGTCCGCCTGGATCCAGGGTCTCGGACAAGGTACCCCCGGAGCATTGTTGCGAGTTTGGGGTATAGGGTTTGGGGTCTGGGGTTTAGGGATTGGGGTTTAGGTGTTTAGGTGTTTAGGGGTTTAGGGGTTTAGGGGTTTCGGGGTTTAGGGGTCTAGGGGTTTAGGGGTTCAGGGTCCGCAAAGTAGGATGTTCAGGGCATCTTAAAGTGTACTTTTGGGGGGGGTTTAGGGCTTTGGGGTTTAAATTTGGTTGGGCTCTGGCTGGTTTAGGCTTTAGGCAGCCGTATGTCAGGACTTTCCGAATCCCTTCTGACGGCGTTCTGAGTGCAGCTTGAGCGTTTACATGAGCTTCTTTTTCGACAGAACGGTTTTCGCAAACCTCTGGGTGTTCATTAGCCTCCTTAAGACTCTTACGAGAGAAAAACTACGGATGTGAAACAGTCAGCATGCATGCAACGAAGAGCGAAAGCCAACTTACGCCGACATGCCGATACATCGATATCTTCCCCCTCCCCCACATACGCCGATATGCCGATGCGCGATACACCGATACGCCGAATAAGCCGACATCCCGCCCCCCGTCCCCACACCCCCCTCCTTACTCCGTTTTCCCTCCCCCCACGTCCACAAGCAACCTCCCCCACACCCATAGCAAAAGTTCCCGAGCTTTGTGTGGGCCTGTTTTGGGTATTTAGCGTCCACAAAGACCACATTTGCTACCCATGAATGTGTGCAAGCAGATACTCCACGCAGAACACCGGCTCTATCGCTGAGTGCTAACATTGAATTAACCATGCCGGCCCTTCGCATGTGCACGCAATGAATTCTGAGTCTTACGCCGAAAATCGCTGTAAACAAAAAACGGGTTTGGGGTTTAGGGTGCACCCCTGAACCCTGAACCATAAATCCTAAGCCCTAAACCCTAAACCCCTAGCTTGTTCTGTCAGGGTGGGGGCTGGGGGTTTTGGTCCAAGTTCTCGGATGAAGCAGCTATATACATACTTGATACCTGTATAGCCATAAAGTAGGGAAGTAGGCGGGGAGTGATCTGCGATTTAATGTTGGACTGACTTTAGTAGAAGAGGGGTCTATACTCACAATTTTCGAAAATCTATTCTGCGAACCGAGTTTGTTCAGGGTACCCGCTAGAATCACAAGTTTTTTCGGACGTTGTTTTTTGTTTAAGGATTTGTGTGTTGGGTTCAGGGCTTACGCAGTAAGGCTTGAGACCCTGAGGGTCTTGGGCTCGAGGAATCTTCAAGAGCCAGAGCGCGGAGAATCCGGAAATCTAAGCCCGGCCAGTTCCATGTAAAGCCTTATGGAAACCCATTACGAAACGAGGCCCCAAACAAATTTTGTGATAGGTAGCCCACGCGCCGGTCAGACGGTCTTTAGTAAGTTTGTCTGGCTACCCTCTATAATGCCAGGTTTTTTCGGATGGTTTGTTGTTAAGGGTTTGTGTTTTGGGTTTAAAGAAAGGTTAGGGCTTACGCAGTAAGGCTTGAGGCCCTGAAGGGCCTTGGGCTTCTTAAAGGCTGGAAACCTTCATCTTGAGGTCCTGAAGGCTTGAGGCCCTGAGGCCGGTTCCCGCTTATAGAGGGTCCGAATTTGTTGGGGGGGGGGGGGGGGGGGGGGCCCATACTAAAGACAGTGCAACATTAGGGTTTATGGTTTAGGGTTGGTTTTAAAAGAAACGGAGGCACCCATGTCCCGAAAACTTCGCAAACCTTCAGCTGCAACGGAGACTCCTCACCGGAGGTCCGCCACACGCGGATCATGACTTAATACTGTGAGTTGCAGAAAGCAACGCAACTCCTTTATACTCGACCCTAAACCCTAGACCCGACACCCTGAACCCTAAACCTTAAACATTGCGCCTGTGAAGAGGCGCCCGCCTGAAGTGCTGTGTCGACCCTGCTTGTCATGTCCCTAGCACAGGGTAGATACCTTCCGATCATCCCTAAACCCTAAACCCCAAACCCTAAACCCTAAACCCTAAACTTTCTGCAAATGTTCTTCCCGAATGCCACCCACTCAGGGAAAGCTATCCTGTGCTGGAGCCGTACATCTGCCACCGGCGCTTGGAACTCCAAAAAGGGTTTAGGGTTTAGGGTTTAGGGTTTAGGGTTCAGGGTCTCAGCACCTCAGAAGTAGGCCCAAATCCCTCAACCCCCAAACCCTGACCCTAAACCTAAACCCCGAACCCCCAAAACCCTACACCCTAAACCCAAATCCTAAACCCTAAATCCCTCAACCACCAAGACCTCAAGCCTTTGGGGTCTAGGTTTCCGGGAAGCCTTTGGCCTTTGAAGTTGCCAGGGACTGTAGGGCTTGGGTTTCGAAGGCTTCTGAGGGCTAAGGGCTTCTAAGATTTCGGGGTAAACCCTAAACCCTTAACCCTTAACCCTAAACCCTAAACCTTAAACCCTAAACCCTATCCCTGAACCCCAAGCCCTAAACCCGAATGGGGCTCAGGTCTTCAGGCTGGGGATCATACAGGGCCTTCCCGTTTAGTTGGGGCTTCGGGTTTGGGGTTTGGGGTTGGGATGTTCCCCCTCATATTCCCACTTATACTAACAGTCTCTAATAGGGAGTATAATCGGGGTACCAGAATCCCTAGTAAGGACTGTTAGTACAAGGGGGAACATCCCAAGCTTTTGGGGTTTTGGGGGGCTGAGCGTGTAGGATTTCGCGCGAGCGGCACAAAGCCCGGGTGCGCCAAACGACTCCCAATGGGCCTGTATTCATAAGAGGGTTATAGCTTATCAAGCTTAAGGACCAGTACCTGATGATTCCTTCATTAAGTCACGAGGGGATATTGGAGTCACCCCCCCCCCCGCCCTCCAAAGCCTTCGTGTCATGAAGCCGCGCCCAGCCCCCCAAACTCCGAAAACCAACGGCGACACACCCAGCCGCGGACAGGAGACCCCAGGATTTGGGTTTAGGGCTCAGGGCTGAGGATTTTCAATATCTTAGACCGGATTCAGAGCGTCCAGACCCGAAACCCAAACCCTAGCCCTAAACCCTAAACCCTAAACCTAAACCCTAAACCCCAAACCCGAAGCCCTCGGTGCTCCGGAACCTCAGTGCTGGAGTGCGCAAGCAGCGCCGTGCCAGAGCTACACCACTTCAGCTCAGAGAGCTGGCCTTGAACAGAGTGTGTGGGGTTTCGGGTTTAGGGATTTAGGGTTTAGGGTTTAGGGTTTAGGGTTTAAACCCTAAACCCTAAACCCTAAACCCTAAACCCTAAACCCTAGATTCCTTCGAGGATCCAAGACGTAGAGCACCCCAAATCGCACCCTTCGTTCCAGGAACCCTCAAGGGGATCTACCTTTTGGATCCTCCAAGCGGTCTGGGAAATGAGGGTCCCGGATTGGGGCTGCTGTACTAGGCTGCCCAGTAACCTAGGCTGAAAAAGGGTGCCCTTTTTTGCTTTAAGGGGTTTATTTGGGAACCTAAACCTCCCAAAAAGGGAATAAGGGTACTACTGGGCATCCTAGTGTATGTAAAGTTTCTCGGCAGCCCAGGTCAGGATATTGTGATCAGGGCACCCCCTTTTTGGGGCTTGGCTACTTCATAGGGGAACCTTGAAGCAATAAAAGGGCAAAAGGGTACCACTGGGCTACCAAGCAGTGTAGAGAAGTACCCAATGTGGCTTTCTAGGGCTAGGCTTAGGGGTTTTAGGGTTGGGGTTTTGCGATTCAGGGGTTGGGGTTGTTCAGGGGTTCCATAAGGGTTTAGGGGTTCGGGTTTAGGGTTCAGAGTTGCGGGTTTAGTTGAGGTCTTGGGCTTTCGGGTTGCATGAGATATCCCTAAACCCTAAACCCTCATCCCTCAGGGTCGCGGCTTAGGATTTGGGGCTTAGCAACTTGCAATCTGATTCAGGAGCTCATTAGGCCAGGAGGTGAGTCTACGTAGGAGGTGCGGTCGATGATGGGCACTGTGGATGTGCAGCCCCCGCGCGGCGCGCCGGTGTCTTGATGTTGCTGAGCTCCAGTCGGGAAATCGACTTTTCAATCTCAATACTGGGTTTAGGGCTTGGGGTTTAGGATGGCCGACTTGACTTGAGTAGGAAGGCTAGTGAGTTAGTGATACTCGATGCCTGAATCTGCGCAAAAAGACGACGAAAAACTGGGAGGGGAGGGTGGGCGGGGGTGGTAGGTCTTGGATGTCAAGGCCAAGAGTTTCCCGCCGCCCCCCCCCCCCCCCCCCACCCCAAGACTGATTTTAGGGGTTTCCGACAACAGGGGGTATACCCTTTTTGGGGGGTCCCTTTCAGGGGATTCTCTTCTGTTTGGGGATCAAAGGGGTACCCCTATTTTGGGAAATGCCCATTTTGTTTACAAACGCCCAGCCTGTTTAGAAACACAGGGTCGTCTTTACAACTTCGTGCTTAGAGGGGCCTGCCATGAAACCCGAAAACCCCTAAACCCCTAAACCCCTAAACCCTAAACCCTAAAACCCTAAACCCCTAAACCCTAAACCCCTAATATAAGGGAACCTTGTGAACTGAAGCAGGGCAAAAGGCCCCTTCTGGGCTACGCAGGTTGGCTCAAAATAAACACCTGGACCCCAGGAACCCGCAACTAAAACATCCAGCGCTCTTCTCGTGTCTTTGTTTGAGGTTTACAGCAATGGGGGTGCCTCGGAAACTTCACGCCCATGAATCTACGACCTCAAACGCTGGGACTTTTTTTTTTTTTTCCTTTTTTTTTTTTTTTGGGGGGGGGGGGGTTTAAGGGGGGGCCCGTGAGTTCAAGGTTTTGGGGTGGAAGGCAGATGTCGGCCTCAATCAGCACAGGCGCTGAGCAACAGGGCCTAGGGTGATCAGCGCCCCCAAAACCCTAAAACCTACACCTTAAACTCCAAACCACCAAGCCCTACACCCCAAACTCCAAGCCCCAAGCCCGAATTAAGCCCTAAACCTCCAAGCTCTGGACCCCAGACCCTACACCCTAAGCCCCAAATCCTAAAACCCTAACCCCCAAACCCTAAACCCCTGACTGTGGTCAAGATCCCGGCCAACTTCGACCTCGGCTTTCATGCACTCCACCTGAGGTTTTAGGGCTTCGGCTTAAGGGTTTAGGGCTAGGGTTTAGGATTTAGGATTTAGGGTTTAGGGTTTAGGGCTTAGGGTTCAGGGCTCTTAGGGTAGTTTCATGGGCCCTTAATAGGGCCCCTTGCCTTCTTTAAAGGGTTGTGCATTTAATGGGCATGTGGATTGTGCAGGGTATATATGGGGGTACAAAGGGGTCCCGTTTCAGGGCTCATACTACGGGACCATGTAACTACCCCTCAACCCTAAACCCTAAACCCTAAACCCTAAACCCTAAACCCTAAACAGGATTAGGGTTTAGGTTCCTATAAGCCCCAAACGTGGAAGGTGTTTATCTGAGGGTAGTTACGCAGTTCCTTGGTATGAACCCTGAATTGGGGACCTGGCCTATACCCCATATATACCCCATACAACCCGAGGGCCCATACTTCAGAACCCTGTAAAGAAGGTAAGGGATCACATTAAGAGCCCATGACCTAACGCCTAATCCCTAATACTAAACCTAGTGTGTGTTTAGGGTGTTGAGGGCCCCTAGGCCGTTGGAGCTTCTGGGCTTTAAGGGTTCGGGGCTCTCGGGGGTTCAGGCTTTGCAGGGCTTCGGGGTGCTTAGGGGAGGGTTTCGGCATGTTTGGGGGTTTTCACAAGGGCTTAGGGTGTAGGGATACCTCAGGGTCGCTTCGGGGTGTTTAGACCCTTTTGTGGGTTTCGGGTAATAGGGTTCATGGGCGCGGCGACACTCCTGTTTACCTCTTGGGCCCCGCAAGCTGCCACTCTAGGACCCCCTCAACACTATGATCCTTGTCTTTGGATTTGGATGCAGCTGAAAACGGGGTTTAGGGTTTAGGGTTTAGGGTTTTGAGAGAGGTCTAAACCCTAAAGCCCTCAACCCTACACCCAAGACCAAGCTTCTTGTATCTGCGGTGGGCTGTCTCCCTACATGGGCAATTATACGAATCCCCTTATAAACGGGCCCTTTTATAGGGTTACTTCGGGTTTAGGGTTTAGGGTTTAGGGTTTGGGGTTTGGGGTCTGGGGTTTAGGGTTTTGGCTTCAGGCCTAATCGCCCATGCTGATCTGGCACTGTCGACTCAGCATTTCAGCGACTGCATCTTCGATGTGACAGGTCGAAGTTGGCTTTCTCTTCCTCGGCGTGCTGGTCCTCCACCCGGCCTTCCCTGGAGGCTGTACCCTAAACCCTAAACCCTAAACCCTAAACCCTAAACCCTAAACCCTAAACCCTAAACCCTAACCCTAAACCTCAAATTTTAAACCCTAAACCCTAAGCCTCAACTGGTCATTTCTCGAAAATGTGGTCCCTTTTTGGGGTCCTTTGTATAAGGTGGACCCGAATTTGGAGAACTCGCCATATACCCTCATAAGGATTACAGTAGTGTGCGGTATATGATCCCATTTTGGGGGTTCATTTGCTTCATATACCCTCACAAGGATTGTAGCAGTGTAGGGTCCATGATCCCAATCTTAGGCTGCAATTGGGTCCGCCCAAGGTCGTTGCACCAACGCGAGGCAGAAGGGGGGGCACTTCAAGTGGCCGAGAGAGTGGTAACTTGAAAACCAAGATGTTCAGGTGGCATCCTCCAAAACGTAACTATACAACCCTAAACCCTAAACCCTAAACCCTAAACCCTAAACCCTAAACCGCGTTGAAGAATGCAGTGCCTTCTCGATCTCGTTCCCATTGCGAATCTGACGGAAGCAGTAGGG